TCAGCCAAAACCTAATTGGCTGCTGCAGCCGCCAAAATGTTCCTCCACACCGAAGAGAGCGAGGAGAAACTCAAAGGAGTGGACAAATCCACCACTGGGACCCGCAGAACCGGCTGTCGCCGCTGGGACACGAGGCAGTCGCTCACTGCTCTCTCTGCCTCTGTCCGCTGGTTTTGAGGTGAAAAAGTTTCACTTTGTGTTATGCTGTGTTGTGGGGGCTCAGATTGTGCTGCTGCATACATTTTGCCCTTGGCTGTGCGTTGTGCTGTGATAGTTCAGCCAATAGTGACCCCAATGACTGTCTGAATACAGGGTTCTTCTTGTCAGCTTCATCACATCACTTCTGTTCATCTCCATCTCTTGTTCGTCATCTTCTGGAGACAGGGTTCTTCTCATCAGCTTCATCATATCAGTTCTGTTCAGCTCCATCTGTCATTCTTCATCTTCTGGAGACAGGGTTCTTCTCATCAGCTTCATCATATCAGTTCTGTTCAGCTCCATCTGTCATTCTTCATCTTCTGGAGACAGGGTTCTTCTCATCAGCTTCATCATATCAGTTCTGTTCAGCTCCATCTGTCATTCTTCATCTTCTGGAGACAGGGTTCTTCTCATCAGCTTCATCATATCAGTTCTGTTCAGCTCCATCTGTCATTCTTCATCTTCTGGAGACAGGGTTCTTCTTGTCAGCTTCATCACATCACTTCTGTTCAGCTCCATCTCTCGTTCCTCATCTTCTGGAGACAGGGTTCTTCTCATCAGCTTCCTCAGATCTCAGGACCACAGGGCTCAGCTGGCCCCTCCAAACCAGTCACCATGGGAACAGACACAGAAACAGAAACAGTGTTAAGGCATGTGCACGTTCAAAATAAGATACTATGGAATTATCATTTCTTACCTCAAGTCATCTTCTGGAGATAGGGTTCTTCTCATCAGCTTCATATCAGTTCTGTTCAGCTCCATCTGTCATTCGTCATCTTCTGGAGACAGGGTTCTTCTTGTCAGCTTCATCACATCACTTCTGTTCAGCTCCATCTCTTGTTCATCATCTTCTGGAGACAGGGTTCTTCTCATCAGCTTCATCATATCAGTTCTGTTCAGCTCCATCTGTCATTCTTCATCTTCTGGAGACAGGGTTCTTCTCATCAGCTTCATCATATCAGTTCTGTTCAGCTCCATCTGTCATTCTTCATCTTCTGGAGACAGGGTTCTTCTCATCAGCTTCATCATATCACTTCTGTTCAGCTCCATCTCTCGTTCCTCATCTTCTGGAGACAGGGTTCTTCTCATCAGCTTCCTCAGATCTCAGGACCACAGGGCTCAGCTGGCCCCTCCAAACCAGTCATCATGGGAACAGACACAGAAACACAAACAGTGTTAAGGCATGTGCACGTTCAAAATGAGCTACTATGGAATTATCATTTCTTACCTCAAGTTTATTTATCATTATTAGAGCTAAATGAACTTAATAAGTTAAGATGACTTACAATAAAACACCTAAACCTAACATAACATAATTTAACATAATAAACATAACCTAATTTCTCAAACAAAACAAAACAAAGAGGAGAAGCAGGAAATGTCCCACCAACCAGTGAGTTCAATCAATCAAATCATTCAAAACAACCGAACTGACTATTTCCGAACAGTATTCACATAGACTGTTTACAAAGGCTTAAAATTAATTAAGTATTAAGTTGTTGTTTTTTTTGTTTTGGGGCGCTGCATTAGACGTGGTAGCTGCTGGTGAACCAGTTGGTAGTGCACCAGGCTTTTCACTATTGTATTGGCAATATAATGAAATATGATGGCTATTACTTCTTTTTTTGTTTTGTTATCACAGAGTTAGTCCTTAGTAGTTGTACTACCAAGTACCAAGTACTATGGGACACACTCTAACCCTTCTATGCCAAGAAAAAGCACAAGTTTAAAGTAAATGCAAGGAGTACTATGCAGGAATGTCTGTCAAAATGTAGTATTCTGATTAAATGTAGTTTATCAATTAGAACCCACTTTTTCAGTGCAATCTAACTGGGGCCCAATTGCATATTTCATGTATTATAAATAAGATAGTTAAGAATCACTCAATTAAAATATAGACAAAACTTTACATGTTCAAGTACAAGTGTAAAACTTTCTTAGGTTTTGATGAAATCCTATATAATAATCCTTGCTTTTTTCTTACTTAAAAAAACTATAACACTCAGCTTCACTTCTAACCATCCTATGCCCAAAAAACTGTCGAAGGTGTACTATGTAGGAATTTCTGTCAAAACTGTAATACTCAAATGAAATGTATCGTTAATTAGAGTTTTGTCAGTGAAAAAAATGTAATGTATTGTTGTTGTTTGTTGAAATCCTACATAGTATTCCTTTTTTTTTTTGTTTTTTTTTTGTTTTTTTTTTTGTTTCACACCAACACAAAGCTACTACTATTACAATACTATAAAACACACTCTCACCTCTAACCCTCCTATGCCCAGAAAGTATAAGGTGTACTATGCAGGAATTTCTGTAAAACTGCAGTACTCAGATTCGAATTCATAATAGAAATTACAGTTAACTCAACAAGAAAAGGATATGTTTTATCATCATGTTTGTTGTTTATGAAACCCTACATAGTATTCCTTAACTTCAATCTATTCCTTTTTTAAATCAATCAACAAATCAGTGAAGAAGTCAATGGGGTGATGGGCGGGGTTGAAGGTGGTAAAGTCGCATTGAGCCAAGCTCTGAGTCTGAGTCAGAGGCTGAGTTCAGTCCTCATCCGACTCCGAGTCTTGGTGCAGGTGGAGCTGCTGATGGAAGTGGAATCTGATGCCCCCAGACGTCCCAGAGGAGGTGGAGAGACCTGGGTCAGACGTAGAGGGGCGTGGGTTGGAGGAGGAGAGGCACGGCCGCTTGGAGCTGGGGACTTCCTCGTCTTCAATGTCTTCATCCCTGACGCGCTTGCCTTCGCTGAGGGGAATGAAGTCCAGAGCAGAACCCATAGGGAGAGGGCGGGGAGCAGAAGAGTGAGCGGCGGAGAGGAGGGCTCTGATGGCCAGGCCAGGTCTCTGTGCTCGCTGCTGAGGAGAGGGGCTCGGGGCGCGAGCCTCTGGCTCCACAGCTTGAGCAGTAGAGCCTACCCACCTGCCATCATTCCTCACCTCTTCTTCATCCCTGTTGTGCCTGCATCCTATCAGGGGAATGAAATCCAGAACAGGGCTCGGGGCACGAGCCTCTGGCTCCACAGCTCGAGCAGGAACTTCCAACCAGGGTATCCTGAGATGATGGAAGGGCATCTCTTCTTCCCTCTCTTCCTCCTCTTCTTCGTCTTCGGTTTCTTCTACCCTCTCTTCTTCCTCTTCCTCCTCAGAGAGAGTCTCGTATCCAGAATCAGCTGACATATAACTCCACTCTTCATCAGATGACCAAAACTCGTCGCTCCCGCTCTCTTCATCAGATGACCTAGACGGAGGCCTAGGACGACCTACCCCATACTCACCTTGGTCGCCCTCGTCCGAAGAGGAGTAGTCTGGAAGCGCCACCACGTGAAGATCCAGAGCCACAGCCACAGCCTCTGCAACAGGTTTGGCAATGTTAAACACCCTTTAAATTGTAGCGTGAGCAAGTCAGACTAGTACCACAGACTGTAATGACTTATACTACTACTACTACTACTCCCAGTTATTTAAGTACCATATTGAAGAGGTCTACGGTGTTTATCTCGAGGAGCTAGAGTTTGCAAGGGGGATTTGTTATTTTGATGTTTCTGTCTTAATTAACTGTAGGTCTATGACTTTGCTTCTGATCAGTACAGTCAGTATGGCCTATTTTACTGGTACATCTCTTATTTTACTGGTGCTTAAGTAATAAGTTGTGGTGTATTCCAAATACTGCATTGTGCAATTCAGACCAGCTGAATACATTTGGTTGGGTATGACGTTGTCATTACAGTGCTGCAATGCATGGTAAGTAAATAAAAACATAAAATCAAAATCAAGATAAATGATACTATAAAGATATACAATAGACAAAAACTAACACAACACTGTCAGCAGAGTAAAGCTACGAGGCTACAAAACTGCACAATAAGTGGCTCTGACTGTAGTTACGAACAGTGCAGCAAATGGACTAGAATAAACAGCAGGTAAAGTGACTTGAGTATACCTTATTCTTTGCACAATAAGTAGCTATAACTATGTATTATCTACAGTGCTGTATATGGACAAATTAAATCAAGTGACTTGTGAATTGTACCAGCAAAGTCTCATAATGTTACAGTATTGTGTGTGATTAGGCCAACAGGTGGATGACACATAAAGAACACAACATTTTTTATTGTGAATTTCTAGTTATACTTGAGTAACTGTGCATTTTAGAATTCATAATTATGAATGTAGTTATGGATTATGGATTAGTAGGACAGTTTAATTAAGCATGTTTTTATAGTTTATAGGCTATATCTTGAGTCTTATAGGTTTTCTTGCACTGATTTCAGTCTGTCCTTTCCTCCTTTGCTCTGCTTCACTGTGCACCTGACAGTCTGGTAAACCCATCTAAACCAAACCTCAATCGAAAGGCTCAAATTAAAGCCAAACACCAGCATGTCTTGGGACATCAAATGTGCATCTTTTAAATATTCCAATTTAGAATGGCTGGATTTCTATGGACATCAAATGTGCATCTTTTAAATATTCCAATTTAGAATGGCTGGATTTCTATGGAGATCAAATGTGCATCTTTTAAATATTCCAATTTAGAATGGCTGGCTGAGCGCTATGTTTTTTTTTTCAAAATGCCACAAAACCCTGATGAATATTGACGCTCAGAAAATAAAACACAAATAATTTCCTATAAATGTGACAATAACTTTTCACTACGCACTCGTGCTGATATTTTAAGAGCAGTTTCGCCAACTATTTATCATGATCCAAAATGTAATCGTCGAGTGACAGTCACAAACTAACAAATGTTTTTCAAATTTTCATAAACCTGGTTGATAAGAGCCAAATCTTAGAGCTACAGAAACAGTCACAGGTGGACAAAACTGTTCTTGTCGTAAAATATTTGGGCTGTTATTAATATTTGTCATAATTTATCATGGTTGAATGTTATTTGATTAATTTTACCTTCAGGGACGAGATCCTGGCGGTCAGGGTCCGGGGAGGGGCGCACCAGGTCCATGGTGAAGTCCAGTCCCGATTTGGTGTGTTTTCAAAACTCCAGAAAGTTTTGACAGGCAGTTATACCGAGTTGTGATGGTGTTTTACAGCCGGTGAGGGGCTAATAACAGATGAATATCAGAGTCACGTACACGTGTCCGCAGAGCGTTCAAGAAGCGTTCAAAAAGCGTTCTCAGGTGAGAAGGGGGAGGGCAACTGCGCGCGCAGCCGCTTATATAGTGCGCACGACGTTCTGTCGCTATGGCACCGACGCACCGACCGACGCAAGACCAGGGCATTGTACAGCTCCCGGGCTTTAAGCTCGTTTGAAATTACAAAATAAACATAAAATCAAAAAAACAAATTTAATTAAATATTTCTTGGCCTAGATACAAGAAACAAAAAAATAAAACAATAAAATTAATGTCAATATAAAGCTCACAGTGTTAATGTCAACCAAACATTCTCAAGTAAAACGTTTAACTACTCTTAAAGATCCTATATTACACAAAATTTATTCTTGCGCCCTTTAAACCATGTCAGAATGCCGTGAACACGGAGTTGTGTTTTGTTTCATTCACACATGTTGGAGTAACCCTTTATTAGTCGTCTGTCTTCATCTCCAATGCTCCAGAGCACAAGGCGGAACTGAGTGTTTTCTGTTTGAGAGAAGAATTCAGCCTAAATATGTGTGAATGGAACAAAACACAACTCCAGGTATGTTTGTGATGAGGAAACAACGTTATGACACAGATCAGAAAACAGCGTAATATGGGCCTTTTATATAATTATTATAAAACACAATCTCTGCCAAAAGTTAAATTTCTTTATTGATTATTTTACCAAAAGACATTATAGTTTCAGATCTTATTAAACGCTGCTACATCCACAGACTGCACGTAGTCCTCAAATGCAGTAATGGCCTCTTCTAACATGTCTGTCCCCACTTTATCATCCTCCACCACGCACCCGATCTGGAGTTTCTTAATCCCATATCCAACCGGAACCAGCTTGGACTGCCCCCACAGCAAACCCTCCATCTCCACGCTCCGAACGCACTCCTCCATTTTAACCATATCTGTCTCGTCATCCCAGGGTTTAACATCGAGAAGGATAGAAGATTTGGCGATCAAAGCTGGTTTCTTGGCCTTCTTCGCTGCGTATTCTGCAAGGCGTTGTTGCTTGATCTTTTCCGCTTCTTCGTCTTCATCATCGGACCCAAACAAATCCAAGTCTTCGTCATCGTCATTGATAACACTTCCGTTGTTTTGAGTGGGGTCAGGAATTACGTATTGACTTTTGGACGCTGGTAGACTGGATTTCTCTGCGTAGAATGATTTCACATGATTATACCAGCGGAGTAGATGGGAAAGATTTGATGGTGGTGAGGAAGGGATGGCTTCAAAAACAGCAACGTCGGCCTGGGATGCAGAAAATCCCTCAATGTAGCTTTTATCCGCTAGGAAACTGTTTAGGGACTTTCAGGCCGGCTTGGGTGCTCATGTCTCCGAATGTAGTTTTCGTCGAGGTTGGATTGATGAGGACAGGGCACTGTGAAGATCCAGGGTTTGTTGGGAAATGGTGAATCTTGGTTTCTTTCAATGGAACGTCGTGGGATAGGGAAATCTCAGCTGTGTGGCCACTAGAAAGAACCAAGGCAACAGAGCAAGATGTAATGATTTAATGATAATTAAAGCAGCACTGTGTACATTTTCTGGTGAAGTATTTGCTCCCTGCTTGTTTCCATGGAGATGTTATTGCTTTGCTAAAACAGTCGTTCTCCATTAGTTTTTTCGCATACTTCCTAACTCAGGTACTGTAAATCTGTTATTGTCAATTATAATTATTTCAATCAGGGCAAGTTACAGTTCAGATCTGTGGAGAGGTGACCCCACTCACCGTAAGAATACATGTTTTTTCCAGTTTTTATGTTTGCTCAACACCTGCAGTTACATGCATATGGAATAGATATCCTTAAAACATCCCAGGCAAGGTTATAATATCTCCATGGAGCCAAATGAGTATCTGACCCCCTCACCAGGAAAGTTACATAGTGCACATTTAACAGGCAGCATATTCAAGACACTAATGTAATTGGGAAAAGTCATGCACAGGACCACACAGCACAAAACACAAAAGTATTGAGTTAATGTTTAATTTTTAACTTTAATAATTTAGGTTTAATATTAATAGCATGCAAAACACAATGGTCCCACAAGGGCAAAGGCGTGCCTGGAAGTAATGAGAATGTCTTGGTAGTTTTAATAAATAAAACCCTTTTTTTTTTTGGTTGGCCATGATTTTTAACATGGGATCAAATTAAACTGGGGGGATTAAACTGGAGGGAAAGACATATTACCCTTTAAACTATAACATAAGTAGATCACCATTTTAACTTGCCTACTACAACAACAACAACAAGTAATGAGTGATGGGACCACCAACTTCCTGTTAACATTTGTTGCATTTCTAATACCTTAATATGTGTATTTTTTTTAAAGGTAAGGTAGTATAGAGTAGTAAAGTAGATTTTGCTTAAAGGTGCACTGTGTAACCTTTCTTGAGAGGGTCCTCAACCTGCTCGTCTCGATGGAAATGTTAATGCTTTAGTTTAAACTGTCCACAGTATCGTATTAAAGTAATCTGTCTTACATTTATTCAACTTCAGGTATTATTTATTGCTCGAACATATCTTTAAAAAAATTAAATTCTTGCTATGAATGGAGTCACCTCTCCAAAAATCTAACTTGTAATTTGGCTTGCAAGTTTCCATTTAGAATCTTAAGTTTATGGCCATACTGAGGAACAATCTAGGCACATCTCCATGGAGACAAGCAGGTGACGGACGATCCAAAGGACAAGTTACACAGTGCACCTTTAATATGTCCTTTTGAAGGTATTGTCCCTAGAGTCCTCTTTTCGGCCAGATCTTGAGGTAGGATCTTGGTCAGAAGTACTTATATGGAAATTCAGCCTACTGTCCCTGTGTTTTGGATACACTTAATTAAATGACCATTCTCATTACTTTATGAACACACCACTTATCACTGGGTTTCAGGTGACATCACAACACTTCATTGACCTAAAATATTTAATGGAGATGGGGGGCAGGAATTTTCAATGTACCAGAATAATTATTTGTTGTAATATTGTGTACATACAAATGGACAGGCTCACCAAGTGCATATTTCCCTTTTGGATATAATATTTAATTTAGGAAAATATGTCAATAATTGAGTAAAACTGGCTCTTGCCTCCCATGTTGCTGTATGGCATAAAATTCTTCTATAATGTGAAGGTGAGGATCGAATTTCAAATTGGACTTTACCGCCATTTTTACTGTGTACTGTTAAAGATCCTGTACTTTGCATACTTTGCATACTAAAATGCTTAGTGTCAGAGGTGGGCAATATATTGAAATGAAATGTGTTGAAGATAAGCAAAATTTGAATATTGTGTAAATTGGTTATAGTAAAATGTAAAAAAAAAAAAAAAAAGTACTGTACATGGAGTTGTGCATTTTGGGGGGAATTTTTACAGTACAGTACAGCATATCTCAGATACTTGCACCTTAACTAATATATTATGTAACATATTTAAGCACATTTCTGTTGGACTGACTGAATTTCTCTAAATATTCTCCCAAAAATATTTAGTTTAGTTTAGTAATTTTTATCAATACACCCACCGGAATTTACTATTATGTAAACAAAATGACACAATCCTGATCTCTACTTGTATGGCTCAAACATGTCTCCACAGAAACCCTGTGAATAATAAAGATAGAAAAGAGAATCACAGGAATGGTTGCAGGTCCATCTCGAGAGCGGAGCAGGGCATGGTCAGCTCAAAGCGAGTGATCACGTCCGGATGGAGGACCCCGAGGCGCCCCACACTCTGCCCCCGCACAAAGATCTCAGCACAGCGGCCCGGGAAGAACGTGCAGTCTGAGGAGGAGAGACAGGAACATATTAAAAAGGTGCACTATGGATAAATTCTAGAGGAGGGTCAACTCTCTGCTTGTCTTCATGGAGATGTTATTGCTTTGTTCCACGGTACAGCATTTGTTCAGTAACTGGGAATTTTATTGCTCACGTATGTATTCTAACAGTGAGTTGTCTCTCCACAGATCTGACTTGCAGCTTGGTCTGATAGTGTCCACTGCATGTGCATGTGTTTGTGATACTAAGGGATGCATAAAAATCCTACATGTATCACAGATTCAGAAAATAAAATTGGACGTTAGAACAGAACAGTGGGTGTCTGCCAGTGGCGGTGAAAACGAGTTGATCAACAAAATGGCGTCTCGAAAATAATCGAAAAATAAAAAATTGCTCAAACATGCACGACTCAGTCCAAATACAATTACAAGTGAGTAAGAATGAGAAGGAAACAACTATAACATTGTTAAAAGCTCTGAAAAGTCCATTTTGCATTATAGGTCTGCTTTAAAATAATGATCTACTTTAAACAGTCATTACAGAATAATACACATAGTGATAATGATGAAAAAAATACTGTAAATATTGCTAACTACTCTCAATCCAAAGGTTCTTAGTTGACTTATTTTATACCTTAATGCAGTTAAAGAGAAGGTATTATGCAAAATGAATGAAACAAAAACATACCAAAAATGCTCATGTGGTCTTTTTTTTTGGGCAAATCTTTCATTTTCAAATGAATAAAAGATGCTGATCTAAATATGTTACATGTTTGCAAAGAATACCCTGCAGAAGTGTAATACCTCTGTATGAATACTATATACAGTAGGTGATTTGTAGTTAAATCAGTGGTAAATGTCTGTATTTTAGGTTAAAGAATCAGATTAAAATGTTAAATAGCTTGTGATTAAATGGTTTAACTGACAGCGCTGGTAATGGGAGCGATGCTTCTCTTTTGATTAACAGCCTGATTTCGAAGCGCTTGACGCCTACACTGGAGCAGATGTAATCTTTTCTGGTGCAGATGGGACGTCTATGGACAGTCTCTCAACATGTGAAGTAAATGACATATTTCATTTTGTATTTCTGAAAATTCTACAGACAGACGCTTTTGAAATCCATGGATCAGCCATAACATTATGACTGCAAATAGAAACATAGTGTAGAAGCTAAAAGCATATTTAACCCACTGGCCATTGGGGAAAATCTATGTCCATTTTATGAATGAGATAAAACAAACTAATCCTAACAGTGCTGGACTGCATTAAACATGTAGCAGATGTGGGGTAAAAGTGATCTGCCTTTTCATATTTAATTTGACGTACCTAAATTCAGGCCAGTCAGCTGCTCTGGCCCTGTACTAAACTCCTTTGCTTTTCTCTTCTCTGTGAGGCACACACTGACGAAAGAGCACATCACTTCTAAACTCTGCAGTGGTGGAAAATAACAAAGTATAAAAGTAAAAGTACTTTACAATGGCTGAGACTTTTTTTTTAGCACATTTCATATTTAAGTTCTTATCCCATCTTTGAGCAAACCAAATACTCAAAATAAGAAATCAACTGAATCACTTGAAATCAGCTAAATTCTTGATCACTACATGTCATCCTTTAATTGTTCTAACAATCTCTGTAAAAATACTTTTACTTTTCACTCTTTAAGTACATTTTTAAGCAGATACTTTAATACTTTTACCTAAATAGATATTTTCATGTGATACTTTTACTTTTACTTTTAACTTTTTACCCCTGTATCTGTACTTTTAGTAGCAACAAAATTGAGTACTTCATCCACCACTGAAACTCTGCTCCATTTAACTACAGTGAACAGTACTTCTTACATATTTTCAATGCAAGACAGTGGGAGAAATAAAACTGTTTTTCTTCCAATCAAATCGACTTCAACATAAAATATGATAAATCAATTTTTGTCAAGCCCTACATCACGTAAAGCTAACAATAAAACAGTTAATTAGACACAGACAGTACACAACGGACATATTTTGACCTCGGAACCGCTTATACAAAATATCTGTTCTGGGCATAGACTGTTCTGGGGCAAGACATTTTGTTCTGATACATGGACAAAACAAGGTACAGGGCCTATCATCTCTAGTCTAGTCTGTGAAGTCCTATCTTAAGTCTGCTTTTTCAAAGTGATGGGTTTACAGATAATGACTTCTCTGGCAGCACAATCACCACGATTTGCTCTAATCTCGTCTCCGGATCTTGGTTGTTCCCCTGCACTTCCATCTGGAGTTAGCTCGGAGTGGGAGGAAAGAGGACCCATGATTTGAATGGTGCCGGATTCATTGAGCGATTGGTTATTTAAGACGCACCATAGGGCTATTTATACAGTTACCATGGAGCGGGGATGACGCGTGAAACCAGCGCAAGAGAAAAAGAAAGTCTACCGGTTTAGATCATTAGACAGCAGAGGAAAGACTGCCGTTAGATAGTACACTAAGGAGGGACGATCTGCTGTGATTGGTTATTCAAAGTGATAACATATATATATTTAAAAAAAACAAACAAAACATATGGCATATTTAGGTTCTTCTCTCAAACTGAAAACACTCTCCTGTGTTTTAAACTCCACACAACATCACTAGAATTATAATTAATTAGATAAGTTCAGAAGATTCCAGGGCTGAACTTAAGTTAAAAGTTAACTGTTAACTTGAAAACCTCTGCTTCACTTTGGATGAATTGCTTCTACCTTGGCATCTTGGAATTGTTTTCACTGCAAATTTTACACTCTGAATTTTGATTGTAGAATCTGAGGGCTTGAAAATATTTGTGCTGAATATTTAAAAGGTGACATTTTTATATTGAATTTTAAATACTTGAAATGCACACTTAAAATTTCTGCAACAAAAATTTAGTATAAAAATAATTCAAACATGTTTTAGTTAAAAAGTTCAAAGTGACAAATTCAGCGGCATTTAAAATTCAAAATCTGATGAAACAAATGATTTTCCATACTTAAGTCAATTTTGCATAATATAGGACTGTTGAAGTAGTATAGAGTATCAGGCTTCGATGCTTGTTTTACTTTCTAAACTTTTATGAGCAGTACTTAAAACAATATTCAGCCAATTAAATCTCTCCTCCTCTCCATCAGTCTCTCCCCTCTCTAGTTGTTCAGTTAAGTCCTCGTGCACAGTCTAATCAGTGACTGGAGCCATTAGCACAGCAGCAGCGTGGGCAGGAGCAGCAGTGCATCATGGGAAAATGCCATGTCTCTATGCGCACGGCTGTCGTCATAGAAACCCCTCGATCTTATTAAATCAGAGTCCATCTGCATCCTGTCAATATTTAACTCAAATGGATATGGTTTCACAAAGTGTTTTTGGTCTTTCTATCTAGCCATGTTTTTTTCTAATTATGACTTGGTTTGGTGGGATAGTGACATGATGTGGTGAATATTTATCATAGTTTTACATCAGTTAAGTAGAGGTTTGTGGAGAAAAAGGTGAGAAGAAAAGTAATGAAATACAGGTAAGTAGCGGTGAGTTTTAAAAACATTGGACCTTTACCTATGTCATTAACGCATTCCATTCAAAATACAGGAACAATTTACAGACAACAAAGGCATTTTTCTGACATTTCTTTTCTGACATATTTTGACACATTATGCTTGCTAGGTACTACCAACATATGTCACATCTGTCACATATACATATAAACCTCATCAAAATAAAATAAAAAATAATCTGATTAGATTTTTTTTTTTTATTATGATATTAACTACATGTCTGCTTTAGTGAAATTAGTAGCTGAACCTGTCATAGGCATTGGACACTGCACACTCTCTTATCTCTGCAGCTTCTTTTCTTATCATGAATCTAAATTTAATATGGTCTGAACACAGATGTGCCAAACACCTTAAGATTCTGTGGTGAGAAGTACATGACACTGAGCACAGGTCAAAGGTCAAACAATGAACAAAGAGAACCATGTGACCACAGCTTCTCCCACCCAGAAGAGTTCAGCCTGAGACCTCCCATTAGACACAGTTGTTAAGTGAAACAAGGACATATGTCTTTAAGTGGAGCACTTTTTCTCCCTGAACTTTATAACTCTCCAATATTTACTCTGCAAAGAAGTATCTTGTCTCTTTGTAATAAAATCTAACCCTGTAGTTTATACTTCTAGAAACGTGTTCTAAAATGTCTAAGATTCCTGTTGTAGTTCATCAGTAATTACTACCCATGTCTTTATTAAGAATTGTCAATGCCTATATGAAAAAATACGATTAAAAATGTAATCAAAAGTCCCAAAGTCAACCCAAAGTCTTCAGTTAAGTAATCAGTCAAGTAATTTCTTCTGCAGACAATAAATCATGCTGTTTTATTATGTAAAAGTTGCAAAGTCTGTAGTTTTTAGACATCTACAAAATGCATGAGTCTTACGTTCATTTATCAGTGCAGAATCAGATTTCAAATGTGAAAAAAACGTGAACTGTTACTCGAATCATAATAGCAATGCTACACAAAAAAAACAAAAAAACATTACAATTACCGTAGATATTTTTTCCAAAATTGAGCAGTCCAATCGATTCTTCAATCCTTTAAATATCCTATAGTCACTCTTTCTCCCCCCGATCCTTACAGACAGGGCTAACAAGTATTCCCTTATGTACAAACTCTCAGAGCTTAAGAGTGCAGTATTGACAGTGATGGAGCTCCAGTGATGGACAGAGTCACAGGGGGCACAGGTGAGTTCTCAGCCTGGGGTCGTGACCTCGTAATGGGGTTAAGGACACACCGACATCTGGCTGCACGCTCCAGCTAATGGAGCCAATGTGGAAACAACAGGAGGAGGAAGAGAGTCTGGCAGTGTGCCCAATCCTGTCTGTATTAACTACATCTAATGGAGGAAACTTTTTGGGTATCATAAAGGGGATCAACATTCTTATGTAGCATTTTTAGATTAAGTTTCAGAAACCTGACCTACCCGTGTCCCTAGATTTGAGGTTGCTCAAATCACATGTTGAACTTTCAGATGACAATTGTAATGTTAACTTATTACAATGAAAATTATTATTTGGGTTGCCAGTTCCAACGATGAAAACCTAAAAAGGACTTTCTGAATAGTCTAAATAGTCACTGCCTAAACCCCAGCACCTGCAGCCAATTATTAAAAGGGCCCATATTACATTATTATCTTCTATGTTATAATGTTGCTTCCTCATCACAAACATACCTGGGGCTGTGTTTCATTTACACATGTTTAATGTAAAAACCCTGCATATTTAGATCTTCTCTCACAGAAGGCACTGTTCCACATTGTGATGTCATGTGGTAGTATAGGAAGTGCACCACTGTGTTTTTAAATTCCATACACCTTCAATAGAATTCTTTGGATGATTTCAGCAGAAATTGTCAATCTCTACTGAACTAAAGGTCAAAGGTAGATGTTAACCTGAAAGCTGCCGCTGCATGACATCACAAGGTTAGACACAGCATTTTGAGCTTTGGAGAAATAAACAGTATAATAATAATAATCATAAGAGTCATAGTCATAAGAGTCAATTTTGTGTAATATAAGACCTTTAATCAGAGCCAGTGCAACCTCTGCAGCTCAGTGAGTGACTTCTGGTGGTTCAGAGCTTTCAAATAAAGCACAACTTAGGTTTTAGCATCTTATTTAAACCATTAAGAGCATAATCTACATACCTTGCAGTCATGACCAATTAATTTTTATTTTTTTCTCAAATGAAATATGCATGATTACTCCAAATTGCACAAAAGACCCAGGGATTCCTGGGAACTTCATGCAAAAAATACCCCAATGTAGACCCAATGTTAACAAACCAAATAACTGTAGTTCTTAATGTCCTGCTTGGTCCACTGTCCTTCTGCTTAGTGCTGCAGTAGCTGTGACGTGATTCTCATTTTCTACACTGCAGACCTCACTCACCTGCTTCATAAACACTCCCCTTGTCCTCATCTTCCCCTGTCCAGCCTCTTCAGCTCCTTAAGTCTTATTTTCTCACATGTTTTTGCAAGCTCCCTCCTCGACTACACTCTTCCCTCTCTGCACAGGTTTTTCTGATACTTGAGCTCATTGATTGGCTGAAGTCTGGATAGAGTGGATTCTGTAGTAGTGTGACCTTGAAGCGTGCGGGAAACGGGGGGGAGGAGGAAGGGGGCAGGGAGGGGAGAGTGAGCTGAGCAAGCAAACAAAATGGGGGCTATCTAATGTTTTAATTAGGATTGTGAAAAAAGTATCTGTGTCAGTACTGTCACAATACTAAAAAAACAACAACAAAAAAAAACAAACTTGATTTTGGTACTAGTTTAGTTTTGTTACTTTATGTTCTACACCAGATTATAGCTAAATAAGAGCTTCCATCTGTAGTACATGATCAATTATACAATGAAATGTGTAGTGCGGCCAAACCTCCTTGTCAAAGCCTGATCTCGTCAGATCTCAGAAGCTTAGCCGAACTGGGCCTGGTTAGTACTTGGATGGGAGACTGCTGGGAAAATCTGGTGCCACAGTGGAGCACCAGTGGCAAAAAAAACTAAAAAGTTCACCCGCACATTGCCTAATAAGAAAAGGCAGAGTGAGCATCGGTGGTGGTCGGAGGGGCCAATGGCGCAAATTGGCTTCCATCAGTCTGTTCCAGGCAGCTGTGGCTATAATATTATCTTACCACCACCGGGTATAGAGTGAATGAATAATGCATGAAATTGTGAAGGAACTTTAAGCATCTGTAAAAGCACTATATAAGACTAATGTATTATGGATTATGATTATTATTCAGTCAACAGTAAGAACAATTCACACTGTCCACTCTTTGACCTAAAAACACTCACACAATATCACTATGTACAACACAACCACTTCAACAAAGCATTAAAGAAATAGACGGAATAATCAACAGTCAATACTGATTCTGATACCACGATAATACAAAAACGCTGTTTGTTTAGACAATAGAATGCAATTTTCAGCATTAAACCATAGTACTTTCTTTTATATTATCAAGCACCCTTATATCTGTGTAAACCCCAGTCGTCTGTCTAGGTAGGTTCCATAGTGGTCCATGGGTGTATACTTGTCTATGTGGTTTTATACTTACTGCTACAGCTCAAGATCATTCTAAAACTATTACTATTACTATACTAAGCTTCATTTCTGTCCTCTCAATGTGAATTTAGTATTGATACATGCTCAAACAAGTATCTAATTTGGATAGTAGTTTTAGTATTGATTAATATCAGATTTTTGATACTTTTGAGAATCCTTGTTCATTGCATGTGAATATCCATGTTTTGCTAAGCTCCTCCATTTAAAAGCTTCTGTGTGCTTTCAGTAGGATTCCGACAGAACAAAAAAATACACTGGATTTAACATAATCTCATCCAAACCTCCCTTTTAACCTTACAAAGCACTCTTCTATTTGTTTCAACACTGGGATCTGTTCTTTCATGTTTAAGTCCAGTCTTAAGATATTTACCGTTTAAGCTTAAGTATATTGCAGCAGGCTGGTGGTTGATTTCCCTCCCCCAGACTTCCCAGAAAATTTCCTAAAATACTCAATAGGCTGCTATGATGTCTTGTTTAGTTTTTCACATTCACAAGAACTAGAATGGAGTCAAAACAATAATTTTTGCAGTAAACTAGGAAGCATTTATATTTTATAATTAGTTGACTAGTGAGCCAAATCCTTCTACTGATTTTCATATATACAGTATATTATTGTATCATTATTGAAATAGTCATTTTTGTTGTATATTTATTAATACTTAATGTTTTTTTGTGATCAAATGTCTCAATCAAAGTGTACAGTCAGATCTGCAGTGAAAAATAAACATCTTAAGAAGCTTTTGAACAGTCTGTGCAGTCTGACTACAGCAAATGCGAGGGAAATTTAAAAGCACAAATTGTCAGTCTTTCTGAACCTAGAGTCTTTCAACCAATACATTACTGCCCCTCCATAAGCTGCGTTGATGTCAACTGCATAAAAACAACAACAAATACATGCTTTTATGTATTATGGATGGTATATTTAAAGCAGGTTGGATCCTATTTTCTGATGTCTAGGTGCACACAACAAGCTAGTCCATACGCACACCTGGTGTGGTTATTGTGGCCCTCCCCATTCACTTGTAATGCAAACTAAAAAATACACATTCATTTTACATTTCATAGAGTGAAATACATCTGCATAGCCCCAGCCTTCCTTGCACTCACCATCTGCAGCCCTGATGCTGTAGCCTTCCCCTGGGCTGACCTCCAGCAGCTGCATGGTTCTGTCCAGGAGCCCATGTATCACCTCAAAACCGGGACTCTTACTGTAGTAGACCGCACAGAAACGACGGCTGTTCCTCGCCCCCACATCTGCCACGGACAGAGGGGGGAGGGGGTAAGTTAGGTTTGTTAGGGTAATTAAGCTAAATGATAAAAATCAAACAAAATGTACATGTATAAATGTATATTTATAAATCTAATCAGAAAGCTGAATGAGACTCACGAATCTCTCATTTGGGTTGCCAGTTCCAATGCTTAAATCTATTTGGTTTAAAACTAAAAGGACTCTCTCTGATCTGAATGGTCACTACTTAAAGCCCAGCACCTGCAGTGAATCCTGAATCAGTGCCTCTGCTGCCGCATAAACCCAGCATTCATTGATTATTGAAGTAGAAAAAATAATGATTGACAAACAATTGTTATCTGAATTTTAATTGGACTCTTAAGACAAATGCTGAAAAAAATCCATAGATTAACTGACACAGGTCTTTTTGATGACCAGATTTCACACACCAAAAATCTGATATAATTATTGTGCTATCTTATTATTACTGGCCATGTAAATGTACCCAGTGAGTCATTTTCACACATGTGCCTCCTACCTTTAGTTGCATCCTTTAGAACCACATCAGAAATCTCAAACAGCTTCAGAGGCAGCGGCATCTTTCTGTTGGCTGCAATGGTTTTCAACAGCCCTGGGAGCAAGGTAGTGCGCGCCACCTACAAGACAAACCCGGGAATAATGCCAGAAAAGTAAGTAGTGGTTATGAAAAGTGCAACAGTGACCTCTGCTGGAAGAATTGCACAAGTGAGGTCTCTACTGTACATGCAGGGACACCAGGACTAAGCTTATCATTAGGTGGTGTTATGATTTTATTTAAATTTTTATAATTTTTGCACAAGTTTCGTTCAAGTCAATACACTTTTACTTGAGTGCAATTTTTATTTTTATTTAGCAATGTCAGATTACACATCATCTAATATATTACAAATTATATATAAATCAAAATCAGTGCTACGTTGTTGTTTTTTTAATCTGTTTTTAATCTACTGCTCAAATTCAGAGGAGGACAGCCTTTAATCACATTTATCTGAGTAACTTTTTAACACAACTGTAAAACATATTAATTTCCTCCTACCTGAATAACACATACTTTTACCTGAGTAAAAGTTTTGGTTACTCTTTCCACTATGAGCAAGACTACACGTGACAGAAGCTTTATGCTGACAGTATGAAATGATTTGAATATTTGTGTTTCTTGCATCACTCCTTTAGAGATGATTTAGTTTGTCTCTTTTTTTATGTCTGTTTTGTGAAAATGCCAGATTATGTGCATTATTTAATGCTTTGTCCATCAAATTATATTCACTTTAAATAAGAAATCAGTTAGCAGTAGTTTCCGTTTTTATTCATGGTCTAAGAAATTTATTCTTAGACCACGAATAAAAAGGGAACGTGGAAATACATGCATTTCTACTTCAGTAAAATAACTTTGAATCTGCTTCATCTAGCAACCTCTTCTTAAAATTCTTTGCTCTTTAATACTTTCCTAATACATACTGAGGTAACTGTGGTTTGTTGACTTTTACCTGGAACTCTGCTGTTTTGGGGTTGGAGATGTGGATGGCTTTGGTGTCTTCGATCTTTTTTCCAAGTTTGTCTGCGATATCCTCCTTAGAGCACTATGAAGAAAAATGATGTTGTAATGACAAAGTTACTACTGTATTAGAACTAAACCAAGAGCAAACCAAGACCAAGCCAGGACAAAACTGGACTAAACTGTGGACTAAAGCCAGACTAAACCATACCGTAACCAGGACCAAACTAGGAGGACCAAACGTGGACCAAACGTGGACCTAACCAAGTCTAAACCAGGCCTAAATTGTGGCTTAAATTGTGGCTAAAACCAGGGCCAAACCGGAACTAACCCAGGTCTAAAGAACTTTTGACAGTTGTTGGTCGCTACAGAATACCCCACCCAGTTCTACAGACATAACAATTTGTATAGTTAAATCCTTATCTGGTAGTTCCTGTATTTAACTCAACAAATGGTCCAGAAAATGTTGCCCCATATCTCAGCTAACAACAAGAAACCATTTGTGTTACCAGAGAATTTCTCACCAGGGCAAAGTTGAGGGCTTCAGTAAAACCTGCTGCAGCCAGGTCCTGTCTCAGCAGCTCTGTCAGTTTGTTGATAGGAAACTGTAACCAGAGAAAGAGTGGAATCATAACATTATTCATTACAGGTAATAACTGTAACATGTGCTCCTACTGATTCAGAGCTGCTATTGGCTTTCTTGTACTATGGTAGGGCTAGGCAATTATCAAAATCAACTTTTGAATGATCAGAGAGGTCTATGTATGTAGTTTGGAGCAGAGTTCAGATTTTGGAGTAGGCTCAGAAAATGATTATTGAAAAAGTCAAAATAAAATCAAATGTAAAATTGTGATCAATCAATATGAGGATATTTTTTCCTCCAGCCCTGTACTAAGGACACAAAATATCAGAGTGCTCTAGTTTTGTGATTTGATCCAGCAACTCCAAGTGACGAGGTCATTTCTGTTCTGATTGCAAAATATGATTATTTATACAAAAATAATTATTGAGAACAGATAATGTAAATATAATTATGACAGTGGTCATCAGTAAAATGAACATCTCTACTTCATATCTGAGCACACAGTTATACCTATACAGTATATTGGTGAACTACTGATAATGAAGAAATAAGAGGAGTGTATCAATGTAACACTTATGACTTATTAACAATTTGTGATATTTGTAGAGCAAGCAACCAATTTTCTTTGCAAATATCCTGTTATTGTTACAACAACACTGTGGCAATGGAAATCAGAAAAAAAAATTGATCTTGTTATTTTAGATAAATATAAAATTAAAATGCCCTACCTGATTTGCGACGGTGTAAGTTCTGGGTGTGGTGCGGATGATGTTGTTGAACCCATAGGCGATGGCGGCGTCCTCCATGATGTCACATGCATGGATGACATCAGAGCGAGTGGGTGGGATCTCTACCTCGATCTCATCTCCGGCTCCTGTGGCTTTAGACTTTAGGCACATCTTGGTCAGAAGCTGGGCAATCTTTTCTGTTGACTCACTGAGAAATTAAAGATGATTTGTAGAAGTTCATTAATAGCATTAAATGGCTGCAGTTTGAATTTGTTTTTAAGACTCTTTCTAGCCAAGTGGTCTTAAAAAAATGTAATACAGCATACATAAAAGCAGCACATTAGCTCTTAGGGTTCTAGATCTATTCATGGGATTTAACTTCATGTTTAACCATAGGAATTATATTTGGTTGCAAATTGTTAAATGCTAAGGCAACTATTCTAGTTTTTCATCACAAATAAATGCTACTTTACCATTTATCATTCACTATCATATTATTGTTATACAAAATAGTGTAGTTTCTAACACATAGTTAATGCTTTCTTCAACTGTACAATGTAATAATACGTATTCTGCCAATAGTCTTGTCTAGCCCATTCATAGCATCAATATCCGCTCAGATAGGACTGCAGCTGTCAATACTATTTTTTTTTTTTTTTTTACTATTTGCATCGCTGCTTAGACATAGATTTTTGGCCATATTGAGCGATACTTGGTTTGCTCTTAGCTAACATTCACAATTTAATGCTATATTGGTCCCTTGTTAAATAATACATCACTTACTTTATTCCCACTTTGCGGTTTATGAATTCACTGGACAACTTCTCCGTCCTGTAGGCCAGCTCCTAAAAGTTGTAAAGATTTATTTTTATGATGTCTTTCCATTAAATAAAGACACAAGCATATTTCATATATTCTAGACTCGTAAATATTTAAGTGAGGTCATAAACATACAGGATAAATGCAGGTCTTTCCATCGGGGTAAACCACTTCTGCCTCCTCTACCCTGAAAGACAAGAAATCATTACTTTTGTTAAATATGGCCATTACTTACTACACTCATATGTGGCTCGTACGTGAAGGGCTGGGCGCAATATTCGCTGAACATCGTCACCATCATGTCCAAAACAATCTTAGCCTGTGAACAGAAAAGATACGAAACATTATATTTTAGAACTGAGGTACATTTTGAAAACTGAATGCAAAAATCTACATTTTTGGCCATCAACAGCCATTATTCCAAATATAAAAAATAAGTAGCACATTAACTTGTCTTTCTTCTTAAAGATGCACTAAGTAATTTTTCCAGTGGAGGGTGCATCATTTGCTTTTCAGCATGGAGATGTCATTCTCCTGGGCCCAAGTCAAACCCTTCTGTCCAATGCTGAACCCACAAGTCTACGTAACCCATGTTCCTGCATGGCAGTTTTCCATATATATACAAAAGCAGTATACAAAACACTACAATACAACTTCACAAACCTGCAATGTGAAGCAGTTTCATTAGTAGGATGCATGCTGGTTGTGCAATTAATAACCCATAGAAATGTAATACCCCCTCTTTAAGCCTTGCTTCCATGGGCTCATTTTGGAGTGGAGCAATGCAGTCTGAAAGTGTTTCTTCTGTCTACACAAGTGTTTTTTGTTTCTTTAATAAAGTTGAATTTAAATACCTTGGTCACATCTGTGGCCGTGCACTCAATGAAGACATTCTTGGTTTGGAGACTGATTTTTGAATGGTCTCCTGAAAAGCAAAAGCAAACATTAGAAACAGTGTGACAAAGACTTGATCTAAATGTATGTTATATGGTTCAAATGCATCCCCAGACCGTTGATGATGGGGGGCATGGAGAGGACGATGCCATTGCTGTCGTAGATAACAGGATACACGGGTTTGTCTTCAATAATGTGAAGGTAATGTCGCAGGTGGCTGTCCGTCTGAGCAAGAAACAGATTAAGATTAAGATTAGTTTGAATGAAAAAGGTGAAGTATTGCAGTGAAGAAGACTAATGCAAGAATCCCTAAATTACAGGTACAACAAGAATTCTCTAGTGAAAAAAATCAGGATATGTTGTTCTTTTCCAGAAAATATAAATAATTGTAGGTTTTGTAATTTGTTGAATGTGCCAACTCAAAATGAGATTTGAATGAGATACATCAATTCATCTTTTTCAGTTCCAATACCAGTATTTTGTCTTTTGGTGTTTGTCGATACCCAATATTAACTGATAACAGTGTAGGGTCGAAAAAAGGCATTTTATTTCTATCAAAACACATAACAGTTTAGCAGATTTGTATAAATAAAGGTTAAAACATTATCAAACATTCAAAGCTAACATTTGCCAGTAACTAAATTGTTAATTATTTCATGGAACCAATACCCTATCTAGCAAATTTTCCTGGATGGGCGCTAATATTCAATAGCAGTATCAACATCAGTGTATCCCTAGATTTGACTGCGACATACTGAGCAGCCCTTGTGTAGATGCATGTGTTTACCTTGTATAGGCTCATGAGCTCTGTGGCGCTGTACTCTTTGGTTTGGTTCAGAGGTTTGAAGTTGATCTGAGCTGGAGGTTTGGCTGTGTATGTGAAAGGACCAGAGATTGTGTCCAAATCATGAGTCCCAATGGCCACCAGGCTTCTCTTTCTGTACAAAGACAAAATTCACAGTTTAATTTACAAATTATATTATAAAAACATAATTTTCCCATATGTTTCTCGTTTATGAGATTGGGGGTTACTAAAGACTATCCAATTGTGATTAAGCTATACAAACATTCCATAGTAATGAAAGAATGGAAATAGGTGCGTTTCATTTTTGGACAGGTCTAAAATATGAACAGCTAAACTTACAAAACTGACATGCTTTCAGAACAGAAAGGATTAGTGGGATTTATAAATGAGACAACATAGATGTAAAATAATTAGCTCTCCTAAATAAGGTTGAGATGGTAACCAGTATCAAGGTATACCACATTATTACAATGTCACAGTATCACTACTGCAAGGACGATCTTCCTGACAGTAGTGACTGAGTTCATTTATTTCACAGCCTTGAGTTAATAATAACAACACATTGGCACCTTTCAAGTAACTCAAAGTGCTTTATGCTTTATTCATTCTTGGTAAGATACTGTAAGTCACAGCTCACCTGTTGTACACTGATGGAAATAAGGCTGAAAATCTGCTCTATCAGCCTCTCCAACCAACACTCACACAGCACAGTCATACTAGGCAATGTGGGTGAAGTGTCTAAACAAAGGGTACAACGACAGAACTTTGTCTGAGCAGGACTCCATGAACGCCTATCCAAGTATATAGACGATTACTGTATATAGTTTTCCAACCCAAAATGAGCTTCTGTGATTTACAAAACGAGACCATGCAAGCCACAATTACGATTTGACTGCAACCCTACCACAAAGCCTCTAAAACGCAGAGAAAAACATTTGTGTGGACTCAAGAAAAAGAGTGATCACAGAGAGGCCATTTAAGTGAAACAGTTGCACGGTCTGGGAGTTTAGATTGTAAGAGTTTAGATTGTTACTGACCTGCAGATGTTCTGGTGCAGTTTCTCCTGGAGCTCAATGAAGCTGTCATACTTCTCCTGAGTGAATGTGATGTTCCTCAAAACTGCAGCGACAGCGTGAGGTCGAACTGCAGCTGTCTGAAGGAGAAAGACACAACACATAAACGTACATCTGTTTATTTAACCTTTAATGACCCAGATATAGGACAGTGGTTTAATGACTTAAGACAAGAGAGAAACTTTAATACCTATTCCAACATAGAATTAACATGTTAATATGTTAAAAGGGGAAAAATCAGATAAACTTCACTCATGCTAAAACTGGTTTTCCAATATATTTATTTTATTTTTATTACAGATGTGATGAACTTACAGCGTGGGGTGCATTATTTATAAATACAAATAAAGTTACCAACCTCCTTTGTGATGATGAGCTTTTGGGGCTCTCCACTCGCAGGGCGGACACGTCTGTATCGTGGGGCCTCCAACCTACAGGAAGATATGGAATGAAAATAATTTATAAAACATTTCTCTGTAAAACTCAAAACTCTTTTTAGAATGTAGAGCAAATGGCTCTACACTTTGGCAAACTGACTAAGATATGGCTGCAATTCTGTGCCAAGAGAGTGTTAAGAGAGTGCACAGTTGAGTAACTTACATCAGACTAAATAAACAAATCATCGACTACTGATTGAAAAAGCAACAAGGTGCACTATGTAACTTTTCTGGTGGAGGGAATGCCACAAGTATCCATGGGGACATTTAGAATGTTCCACAATATGGGAATAATGTCATATCTCCATAAAGAGAAGCAAATTAAGCTATATCACACAAAGTTACAGGTCAAATCTGTGGAGGAAATAGTAAAAAAGTTATATAGTAGATCATTAAAAATCACAAACTTACTTATTCTTGAAGACCTGTAGCCCACGGACCAGGCCCTCCAGACAGAGCAGGTCATAGCGATTGGCTGGAACATCAATTTTGTACAGGATTATATCAGATGCCCCGGATGCTTTGGAGTCTCCTTGTTCTCTGCTAATTATTTCCTTTTCAGAAGTCTAAAGGAATTACAGCAACTTTACAATAAATGTACAGTTAAGATAGCAGTAAACTCAAATGTTTTCAAAGACGATACTCACAATTTCATCCAACTCCAACCCAAATTCAAAGCATAACTCATCAAACTCCTCATCCGCTAAAAGTTGACAAAAAATTATAGTTTTACATTTCAAAAGAGGCTGACAATTTTAATAGCAACAAACATTAATCTTTTACAAGAGATGCTAAAAAGAAGCTTAAATCAAATATAAATAATTTATAAATGTATATAAAAACATCACATATAGTCACAGAAATATGTATGAATGGTATATTATGGCATTACATTGTTTTTCACTAAATAATGTAATAAATTGTATGATTACTGTTTAGTTTATTCATTAAATTTTTAAAGATCCCAATAAAATATCACAATAAAAGAGATACAGAGAAAAAATTGCATTGACTTACAAATTACCAGGGAAGGAAGCAATCTATAAGCTGCCTGTTTTAATGCTTCAGTTTATTTTAATAAGGAGAGATACTGTTATGAGCATTACTCCTTAATGGCCTATTCATTCTCCTTATATTATAATTTTATATACATATACATACATATACATACATGTATGTATGTATGAATTAATTAATTTATTTATTTTTATTTTTTTTTTCCCTTTAAGGGTGCACTGTATAACTTTCAGGTGGAGGGTCCATTATCTGCTTGCCTTTATAGAAATTTGATTTGGTATTTCATAGTATGGAAATAAAGGTATCTATTTTGCATTTATTCAGTTTCAGGTTATTTTATTTCTCCAAAATACTTTAAAAGCCTGTTCAGATTTGACTTATAACTTGTCTTGCTAGCATAATACATATACTATGGAACATTCCAGGCAAGTGGCAGCCCTCCACCAGCAAAGTTACACAGTGCACCTTTAGCGTTGTCGTGTGGACGCAGCCTTAATACGGTCAAGTTGTCTCATTTCCGAGCTGCCACCACAACTGCAGAGTTTAAATGACAGGAGACAGCATGATGCAATCACGTTGACATTCATTCATTAGTTTTGACTAAAAATCTGACTATATGGACATATCTGATCAAAAGTGTGACTCTAAATTCACTTTAAAATCAATATCAATATATCTATAATTATTTCGCAAGAAAACTGGAAACACTAACTTATCTGGAAGACATGTGAGTAATCCCATAGTAATAAGGCTCATGCTAACAGGCTATTAAGTTTATTCTAATTGTTCTTTTTTATTTTTTCGAATAAGAAAAAGCAGAGATGACTAAACTCGGTATTTCCGTGGTGTGAACATCAATAAAATTTAATCTTACTGTATGTTTTGCCCAGCGCTTTGAAAAGAAGGTCCCGTTTTACTCCGACAGTCGGCATGTTGCTGCTAATCCTGCTAGCCCCAGCGCAAAGGACCCCAACCAGTTTAGCTGCCTCCTACGCTGCCTGAGTGAAACCCAACATAACTTTTTTCTTTCCTTTTTCTTTTTATTAACTTATTTCGTCTCTACAGTTTTTATTTATTTATTTGTGAAGCCATCTATTTTACATTAGTTATTATATTTTTAAAGTTCCTTGATCTTGAAATGAAATAAATAAATTTGTGTATTCAACTGGGAATGCTCTCACAAGGATTTATTCCCAATTTTTACATTTATAGCCATAAAGATATACACTTTTCACCAGAGGCCTGCAATATATATTTTTTCTGCTTTCTAATTCATAACTACAGTCCATAGATATATAGAACGGTAGATCTCGCGTTGAGCCTCTTGGCATCATAAAACTGCTTGGAATGCGTTAATACCGCCGCCATCTTGGTACAGCGGTTCCCTGGTCTAAGACAGGGGTGGGCAACTATTTTTTTCATGGGGCCACATGAGAAACAGAAAATATCGTGGAGGGCTAGGCCAAAATGCTTAACTCAGTTCTGCATAATATTAATGGTATTTCTTTATAAAGAGTAGTAAATAGCATTGTTTTGACAAGCTGGTAAAATTGGTTAGAGTATATGACTAAGCAAAGAAAAAGTGAGGCTGCCTTATAAAAAATGCCATTTAAAAAAAACGCATCCAAAACAAAAGCAATGCAGCTTTAGTCCATGCATGAGGTTAAATCATGAAGTATGTTTATTTTGTATCTCCACAGAAGCTTAAATGGGCCGGTCAGAGTCAACCAAACGGCTGAATGTAACTCATGGGCTGGACAATGCCCAGGTCTGGTCTAAGGTAAAGTTTTTCACAGTCAGTGAGTGACGATGCCTTCCTTTTGTGCCGCATATGAACATGCGAAAGAGCGGAATAAAAAGACGAAAGATCTAGGCCTCTGATGTTTTCAACCCAGACTGAATGAACTCAGGACTAAACCAGGACTCAACCAGAGCTGAACCCAGGCTGAGCCAGGACTGAACCCAGGTCTGAATCAGGACTAAACCAGGACTGAACCAGGGCTGAAACTTACTGAAACTTGGGTATGTTTTGCAGTACCAGTCAAATAAGAAAGAGAAATGATATGGTTCTTCTGCTGCTTTGTTCAGCATATGTCAAAGTTGCCTAGAAACCACTTTCAAGGACATTTAGTCTTTTATAAAACCTGACTACACAAATGATTTAAATGCACGACTAACCAAATACTGACTAATTTAATGGAGAAGAGAGACTTAGAAGCAGAGGTGGGTAGGGTAGCCAAAAATTGTACTCAAGTAAGAGTAACGTTACTTCAAAGTAATATTATTACTCAAGTAGAAGTAGTGGAAAGTAAAAAAGCTTTTGGCAAAACCACTACTCAAGTAAGAGTAACTGTAACATCTGATTTATAATTTGAAGTGAATGTAATTTGAAGGAGAAATATGAATTAAGTAATGCAAAAAATCTGGTATTTTAAAAGGATATACATAAACATAAAGAAAAACTGCATTAAATTTGAAGGAGTGCTATTGAAATACAAATGTTCAAATCATTTCATTTCATATTGTCAACATAAAGCTTATGTTAGACTTACTCACACTGGGAAAAGAAACCAAAGCAGTTTAGAACCATAGACATAATTTAATCTGTAAAATTTTGTATTTTTCTGTTTTGTCTGCAGCAGTGAGTCACTCCTCTGTCCCTGTAGAGCATCCTCCCACGTACAACTTTTCATATGTCCCAATAGACCTGCTGTCAATTATTCAACACAACAATAGCAAACTTTACTTTTTTCATAGCTAGTTCTCCTGCTTTTATGCTTTATATATCTGGTTTACTTTTAGCCATCCATTTTCTTCTGCTTATCCAGGGATGGGTCGCAGAGGCAGCAGTCTAAGCAGGAACTCCCAGACTTCCCTCACCCCAGACACTTCTTCCAGCTCCTCCAGGGAAACCCCAAGGTGTTCCCAGGCTACCCAAGAGACATTCCAGTGTCATTCCAGTGTCATTCTCAGTGTCCTAGGTCTTTCCTAGGGCCTCCTCCCGATGGGACATGAACACCTCTCCAGGAAGGCGTCCGAAGAGATGCCCGAGCTACTTCAGCTGGCTCCTCTCAACATGGAGGAATTTTACTCCGAGCTCCTCCCGTGTGCCTGTGCTCCTTTCTGCCCATTTCAAGCAATATCATAGTTACTCCTGTCATGTTTGTTAATGTATCTTTGCACTATAAAGTCACTCATTTACATAATGCACTTTTAAATGACCTGCTAAATCTTCAGAGCTCTTAACCACCACTCATGTTGGCTGTTTATTATTTGACAGAATTAACTAGTTGGCAGCTGTATGTAACTGTATGCATTTTTAATAGGTTGCTATCCTCTTTCATAGTTCCATTATAAACCACTGGACAGGTGTGCCTCAGCAACAGTGTTTAAGACCATTGTGTGCATTTCAAAGCAACACCTTGAACAAACAAAGAAAGCCTCACAGATAAAAAAAAAAAAAAAAAGAAAAAAAAGAGAGAGATGTAAATGACAATGCTTAACAGCTTCAAAAAGCACAAGAGTAGAATGTTAAGCTGCATATGAAGGATCAAATTTCAGCCTTTATTGATAGTTTGCAGCTGGTGTCATCAACATTTCCTGAGGGTGTGATGTTAACTGAAGTCACTGCTCTGTCTGAAGCTCTGTTACTCAAGCTAGACTTTAATTTAGAAAAGAACTGACTTAGCTGGAGCTACAGGTGAGCTGATTTGTGATGTTAAACAAGTCCCTCTCAAATATAATCACAAGCTGCATTAGCCAACAGTTTTTCAATTTGTCACGTCACCTTTATTGCTGAAAATCAAACATCTAAACAGGACCATGAGCGTTTGTATTGATCACAGGCTCCTGATGTGCTATTTAAATCCATTTTTTATTTTCAGAATATCAAAATACTTTTTGGCAATACTTGCAAATGTGTGCATTGTGTCACTGTAGCAAATGCAAATGTAGCAAATACATTTTATTTCAGAAATACTGGCCGCACAATACTTTTTATTTAACAGTTTCATATATATCAGCACTTAAACCTAATGTCAGATCTAATAGTTTGTTTGACACGTTAAACTAGTTTTGATTGAAAAGATAATATATTTCCCTCCAGTTGTTGTTTTGGTCTGGCATCTAAGAATGTAGTTGTATTGTTCCGCATGTTTTAAGTAAGGAAGCAAACGCAGCCCAACATGTGAGTGCTGCAAGTGGAATACTGTATCTAAGCTACATCTATATATCCAGCTGAACTGAATACAAGGCAGAATATAAAAAGTACTTATGTGGTGAAGCCCTGGAATTGCCAATCTCTACTGAACAAACGGTAAGAGAAGGTAACTGTTAAACTGAAAACTATCACATCATGACATCACAAGGAAAAGGCTTATTTTGAGTTTTGAAGAAATAGGCAGACTAATAATAAAGGGTTAATCAAACATGTGTGAACGAAACAAAATACAACTCCAGGTATGTTTTTGAGGACGTAACAACATTCTAACATGGCAAAACCTCCCAGGAGTCTATTTCCGTATAATATTGGACCTTTAAGATACTATTCAGATGTGTCATGCGTGCATTGTTACGGCAGTTGGTTTGTGCGCGCGTGTGGGGAGATCGTGGCTTCTTGTGACCGTCAGTAACCCCCCTCTCCCCCCCTCCACTCTGTCACATCCATGCACCCTCCCGTCATCTGAACCCGGCCCACAGCCACGCGCCACCTCCACGAGCCCAATCATAGCGCTCCTCTCACTCTCCCTCTCTCTCTCTTTCTCACTCTCTCTCTCTCCATTCCTCCGGCATCCAAAGCAGTACGCGCGTGTGTGTCTCCACTTCCGGGGACTTGGCTGGCGCGCTGCGGTCTGACGGGGCGGATTAAGAGCCCAAATATGAATTAATAACCAACTCAGAGCAGTGCAAACCCACGAGGTCCTCATAACGTACCGGCGAGGAGAAAGAGAGACAGTGACGTACTTTTACGCACAGGTGTCGCGCTTGGAGGTAAGTTTCATTTGGGGTTTACGATGTAGGATGCTGTGATTGGAAGATGCTCTTGATCAGTCTTAGACACGCATCTTATTTGACTGTATGTAAATTCACTGAGGACGAAATCGTCAAATTATGAGCTACTGTGTAAAACTGCGATTGGAAGGCTAATATAGATTTGGCATTTTTGTGTAGAAAAAAGAATTAGAACTAAGAAGCACCAAGAAAACTGTGTTAGTGTGAATAAACCTTTTAATATGGTAAGATTAGTGATGATGAGATAATACAGCCAATATTTTATTAATCTGTATGCCTTTTTTTAAAAAATATACCTTTATTTTTTTTCTGGCTGGAGGATCTGCCACACCACCTGCTTATTTTCATGGCGATGTTATTGTTTTTTCAAGAATGTTCCACAGTACACCATACATACATAAAGTTATGTATCGCCATGGAGACAAGCAAGCCAAGCTCAAATATGTGGAGAGATGACCTCTGTCAGAATGTTTGGTTATTTTGTGATTTAATAAATTAAAAGCAATAGATTCATACTGTGGAACATTCCAGGCAATGCAGTAACATCTCTACATCACTCTTCATCAGTAAAGTTACAAAGTTACATAGTGCACCTTTAAGTTTATTATTATTTACTTAAGTTATTTCTTTTCTTGCCTTTTGATTGCGTGTTTTACTGTTCTTTGCAACACTTTAATATCCTTTTTGTGGTAAATAAGGTTCTCTTATCTTGTCTAATCATACAAAATCATTGTGACCATTTTACACTGGAAAAAAAACAATATCTAGGTAAGTTAAAATGACTTAAATTCAGAACATTTTACTTTATCTGAGAGATATTTTAGATTTAACCTGATAAGTAAAATGGTCTTCTAATGGAATAAGAGTGCATTTGATTTTGTGTCTTGTTTTATGTGCAAAAAGTTGTTGTCTTTCTTATTTTAAGTGAAGTAAGATGTATTTTCATATTTTAAGTAAAAAAGTTCAAAAAAAGCAAAAAAGTAAAAAGTCTTGTTCCACTGGCAGATAATTTAACTTGTCAAGCGAAATTTACTCAAATTCTGATAAAACTTTCTTAATTTAAGTAATTCTAACTTAACTAGATTTTGCTTTTTGCAGTGTAGACATGAAATTATGAGCTCTGTGCCATTTTTTTTACTGTCTTAAAGTTCATTTTTAACAGTTTGGAGTGGTCCAAAGTTACTCCTCACTTAATTTATGCATTCAGAGTATCACAATTATTCACCGCGATGAGTTTATAAGCACTTTTCACAGCTTTCAGAGACCAGAACGGAGTTTTACCATGACAGTAAAGTTAACAATCACTAGCATGCTAACACGCACCTCCTGATTATCGGACTTTAAACTTTTAAAAAATAGATGCAGACAGTACACAGCGGGCATATTGTGACCTACAGAGCTGCTTATACAATGCATCTTTACTGGGGCAAAGTTTGCTCAAATATGGGAAAAAAAAATGGGTACAGCCTGGGCTATAACGTCATTCAATCTATAGACTACTCAGAAAAGGAATACAGCTGGGTCATATTATAGAGAATGGGGATCTGTTAGAATGAAACAAACGAATGAATGTAAGGATTTCATAGCTGGGAATGCCTCTGGTGTGAATTATTATAAAATGGTGATGATTCTTCTCACAATTATCATAAAACTTAAATGTGATATTGTAGCATAAGATCTTTGCCCTCTCATAGAACTGATGTGAATGAATCCGCTATGTTTATATCAAAACCAGGACTAATTTGGACTTCATTATTTAGTTTAATCTAACAAATTACATCCCTTTTTTGTGTTCCTATATACAAACGTGGTACAGACTAATGATTCTGACCTTTTTACACTCTTTGCCATAATGAGCATAAAATCAGAACTAAAACAATCAGATCCACATAAACCAGGACAAAACTCTTCTATAGACTTTTCCCTTGTAGGTCTACCAATGAAGATGACCAACTTTTGCCAAAATGAACCGTGGAACACCCCTAACTGAGCGAGGTTGGTGAGTGTTTGTCCACTAATCTGGTTCGAATCCTGCTCTCGACGCAAACATTGTCGGTAGAGTGGTCAGGCCCACAGGTTGGCTGTTCCAGCTCCCACAGATGAATACTGTTGTTGTGTTCTTGAGCAAGACACTTAACCCTCCCATTGTCTTGTGTATGTGCCTTGAAGGTGGAAAAACTGCTTTTAAAAATGTAAACAATTTGACAAATCCAGATTTACCATTGTACTTGATTCACATCCGATTTGTCCGATAATCTGGAAGTGTGTGTTAGCATGCTCGTTGTTACCATCATTGCAAAACTCTGCTCTGGTCTCTGAGAGTTGTGAAAATCAGTTATATTTATATAAGGTAAATCGTAACTCAATATTGGTCATAGTGAGGAAGGAGGCCGTATATTCTTCTTGTGAAAATACACTATTCATGAGTGTTACTGTGAAAATGGGATGGGTGATGGTTAGTGGGACTAAACTGGACTACACGCATGTACCAGTACTGACCCTTGGGAGCATATAGTTGCCCCATAGTGGTCATGCAGAGTGCTGTGTAAGACTTAAGCCTGTTGAGTGAGAACACAAAGGCCCATTCACTTGTTCTTATGAGGAAGCCATGATTGTGCCCACTCACCCCACCACGTCTACCAATGCACTCAATATTACACCATATCTACAGATCTGCATATGGTACACAGAAAGAAAGCTGTTGTTGAGAAATTGTACAAGTTTAAAGCAATGTTTATAACCAATAAGAGGCTAAAGTTGAGGTTGGCGGCTTACATAAGTGACATATTGCAATATAAGGATCTTAAGAAACAAATAAGATGGTTCTTTAGAGAAATTATGAAATTATTATGAAGTGTGACATATTGCTAAAGCAGGGAGTCAACGGGGGGGACAAAGGGGTCTGTTGTCCCAGGCATCAGGGTCTTAGAGGCCCAGAATTGGACACTATTCCTTTTAATTTGTATTAGAGAGGGGCCCATGTGAGGCTTCTTCCCCCAGGCCCCCAAAATTTCTGTCACTGGGCCTGTGCCGAAATAATATAGACAATAATACTGTAACAAAATCATAAAGCAGAATTACCCCCCAACACATATTTTAAATGTACAATACTATTAACAAAAATATGAGCTGTTATAAATAAATAACAGATTGCAACACTTAAGTAGTTAGTTTGTAGCCAGGCTGGTGCCACCTCAATTTAATTTCTCTCTAGTGACTAGGACAGGAATCAGAATACACTAGAGGGTTTGCAAGAACCCCGGAAGTTGTAGACAGTGCAATGGCCAATCAGTGAAGAGCTGTGAAGCCATGATGTCAAACTCACGTTCCTTTCTGGGTCCCTTTTGTGGTACAGCACAACAGTAAACAAAGTGGTCGAGATGCATTTAGATGAAGCCATATATTCTGTGCTGGCAATGATTCTGAGATCAAGGATTTAAAGCTGGAACAAAGAGAATGTTTGGTGAATTTTATCAAGGGAAAAGACGTTATTGCCCTTCTTCCTACGGTATTTGGTGCATTACATACGTCATGACCAAATAGTAGTGATTGGTTAAAAAAAAAAAATAGTACCCACCTACTGTCGAGCGAACAAATCCTAATGCTGCAAAGTCAGAAGGTTGCTGAATCAGGCTAGTTAGTTTGTGTCTATGAGTAATAAAAGTCTGCATGTATGTCTATGGAAGAATGTTCAGCAGTGACCCTTGTGACACAATGCACACATTAACAAACACTGCCTGATAAGTTTTTTAGACCGTCTGAAAACTTAAAGAAAAAAATTAAAACAAAATGATTCAAACACATTTTCATGCCTCTGTTTAGGGGTTCAATTTTCAGCAAAAATCAATTTACCTGTTGTAGTTACAGCTATGACAGTTGGTTCTTTACAGCCATATTGCATTAAAACAAAGCTCAGATTAAACTAAAGGAGCAGAGCTTCAGACAGAGCTGTGACTCTGGTTAGCTTTACTCCCCAGGGCTTGTTAATGACATCAGCTGCAAAGAATCAATACCTTAATATCTGCCTGGCCCTGCAGTGAGCTGTGCCTCCCACTGATACAAACATGGCACCTCTTGTGTTACAACCCACAGAACAATGAGTGGGACCACATGGAGCAGATGGCAGCCCCAAGGAGCTCTCTGCCAAAAACTCATTTATTTATGAGACTCAAAAGGATGCTGCAGAGAGGAGAGAGCAGTGTCAGCAGCAGCGGGCTTTTGGGCCAGGTAGAAGTAAGAGGAGGAGTTTTAGTTCAAGATGGACCCTCCTATGTGGCAGTACTACATCAACATAATTTTATACAATTAGAATTCTGCATTTGATTCACAGGTGGTATAGCCAATCAATGAAATTCATTCATTGATTGGCTCTATATATATATATATATATATATATATATATATATATAAATTATTATGTTCATGGGAAGCAGGTAAGGAAATTAATATTTCTCCCCAAATGAACAGTTACAGATGCTATAGAACACGAGGAAAAAGAAAAAAATATTTAAAATACGATTTCATTGTAAACTCCTGCGAGCAAAGGGAGACACTCAAACCATTATTCACTGTGATGCTAACTGAAGGCACTACTCTGTAGCTTTGTTAGACTAGTCTGAGTTTTATTTTAACACAATCTGAACTGACTATAACAAGTGAGTTGATTTGTGCTGTTAAACAAGTGTCATACACATAGGATGACCAGATTTTCAGAATTAAAAACTAAAAACACACCTAGGTTGGGATTGTTGGTATAAATAAAACTGTGAAAAGAGCACGTAACATTGTCCATTTTCGTCTCATTTGTGGGTCAGTCATAATCTGAGATCTTTTTTTCATCTTATGGTCATTTTCAAGCATGGTATCTATATTTTAGCTAAACAAATGAAAATAAATTCAACTCTTTACTGTTGGTGGGGATCAAATTAGTCAGAAATGGGGACAACTGGGACATTTCCTGTATAAAACTGGGACAAATCACTGGTTTTCAGTGTTTTAAACACAGGGCTCAAAACTGGGACTGTCCCAGGTAGAAAGGGATGTCTGGTCACTCTACATACATGTAGTTAATACGATTAACTGAGATTCAGGAGCAGGACCACGCCTCAGCCGCCCTCTCCTCTCACCAGCGAACCACAACTCGCCTCGACCACGCCTCTAATTTCCCAGAAGCCTATATGTAGCAGCCTTTCCCATCATCCCAGTTTGTCTCGGCTAACTCGACCCCACCCTCCCATCCCCTATTTTGTCTTTTAGTCATAAGACCCCTACAAGGGGGGTCCCGTTCTGGCTGGGCCAATTGTAGATTGAGACGGAGCCCCCACCCATAGTCTCAACCCAGCCATCTTTGCCTTGCTTCGTACATCATCAATAAACTTCTTCGCACTATGTCGTCGTTGGCGTGGTCCTAGCTAGTGAAACATAAATTTACGGTCACAAGCTAGACATGAGTTTTTCAGTTAGCTGCTCTTGAAGCTTTGAATTCACTTAAGTTAATGTAAATAATCTTAATTACTGGACTATTAATTGCACAGCCCTATTGTAAGGACAGAATAGCAGCAATGTTTCTGTCACTGTGTCAAACGGCGCCATTAACAGGTCAAATATACAATGCGTTGTCTGCTCTCAACACACGCACACGCACACACACAATGTCTAATCCCCTCCACACTTAATGTCACTCACTTCTGTCTTCACTAGTTCAGCCTTAGTTTTCTATACAATATCCAATCTTATCCAATAAGAGTTTTACCTACAAGCATCTGTACTTCAGAATAATACTCAAGAGCAAACAAGAAAGTAGTGGTAGTGGCACACAAGATTAGTCAAGAGTTTAATTTTGTGTGTTCTTTTATGTTTTGTCCTTCCAATTAAATTTACTTCAAATGATATACATGATCTTATGCTCTTATTTGAGTAAATTTAATTGGAAGGACAAAACATAAAAGAACACACAAAATCTAGCCTGATTCATCAGCCAGTTTCACTTCGTGGAAACCGTTTGACCTCGCAGTATTAGGATTTGTTCGCTTGACAGTAGGAGGGCACTTTTTTATTTAACCAATCGTTGCTATTTGGTCGTGATATATGTAATGCAGTACTAACGGGGCTAACTGGTATATTAAACGTTTCCCAAATCCCGTAGGAAGAAAAGCAAAAAGGCCTTCTCCTTGATAAAATACACCAAACATTCTCTTTGTTCTGGCTTAAAGTCTTCGATCTTGGGAATCGTTGCCAACACAGAATGTATGGCTTCATCTACATCCATCTCAACCGCTTTGTTTACTGTTGTGCTGTATCACAATAGGGAGCTTGAGTTTGATGCCATGGCTTCACAGCTCTTCACTGATTGGCTGGTGTGCTGTCTACAACTTCTGGGATTCTTGCAAACCGTCTAGTGTATTCTGATTCCTAACCTAGTCGCTGGAGAGAAATGAAATTGAGCAGAGGCACTAGGTGGCGCTACACAAAATCTGGTATATCCCACAAAAATTTGAAAAATGAAATCGTATATGAAGGAGCGGTCCAAGAAACACAAATATTCAAATAATTTAATGTTGTCAACAGTACTTAATTAAATGTTACTGAGTACTACCAGATCTGATATTAGTGCTTTGTCAAAACTGTGTTATTGTGTGAGAAGAGAATAAAAGAATACATGGGTAAGTTTAATGCCATACTGTGGAACATTCCAGGGAAAGCAATATACTTCTCTGTAGGAACAAGCAGGTCTCAGACGCTCTCCCAGAAAAGTTACACAGTACACCTTTACGGATATGGAGACTGACATACACTGATACATTTAATAGTGTGCCTATAATCAGAGTTAATAATAAAATGGATGTAATCAGTGTGGGATCACTGACAAATAATAGTTTTCTGTTCTGCTTTTGACCCAGCAGCAAAAACATGTGATTCATTCTTTCAGTTTCACAATCATTCAGAAATTCCTCTCAAGAAGTGGCTGTAGCTGAATAAGAATTAGTAACTTAATCGAATTTACAAAATATTCACCAATAACAAGGGAATACCAGTGGGTGCTCTATGCCACGTGTACGTTTGTTTTGCTGGAGTAGAAGCCATATTTACCATAAAAAATATAAAAAATACTGCAGATGAGTTTAGTGGTAATTTGGTTTAAGGTTAGATGAGTAAAAATAATCCTATTTCTAATATTTCAACTGTTAAGCTTTATGTATGATTGAAGATACTAACATACATTTTCAGCTGTGTATGACATGTTCTGAAAGTGAATTAGAGCAGGGGTCACCAAACTCCAAAACCAGGCTTGGGGCTGTCCAGTGTCCTTTTTTTTCTATTTTTTTCCATGGTCCCACAAATCTGTATCTATTGCTCAAGGTGGTCTGGGTAATTATGTAACATTTCTGGTTGTGGGTTTGCTTTTTGCTTGTCTGAGATTGTATTGCTTTGCCTGGAATGTTCCACAGTATGGCATTAGACTTATCTGTCAGGCACTTTACTCTAACTTGGCCTGGCCTCACCTGCTTGTCTCCATGGAGATAGATAGGTTTAATGCCATCCTGTGAACAGACAATGCAATAAAATCTCCAAGGAGACAAGCATGTAGCAGACTTTACACCTGAAGGAAACGAAGATAAAGTGCTCCTTTACAGCAGTATTATTATTATTCTTATCAAACTCCAATCTTGTTTTGTTTTTACAGGTGAAGAGGACACCAAACAAATAACTGAAACCAGGACAAAGTGGAGTGAAACCCTTATAGGAAAAATACTGAAAAAGGAAGCAGCATGAAGCTAAAAGATGAACTAAACCCTGTGATACTTTTACTCTTCCACATTATTGTTGGATTGTACACTGTGCTCACATTCCTACCATCCTACCTCTTAAGCATGCTCTCCTCTTCTGATCAAATCCACTACGGCTCTGAGGAGGACAGAGCCAGAAGAACCAAGGCCAAATCAGTGTCCGGGCGACCTGAGGGACCCTACAGAGCCATAAGCGCCACCAAGAGGCTACTGACGATGGTGCACCCTGGAGTGGACACGCTGGATAAGATGTTGGAGTACGCAGCAGTGAAGTTTCCTCACCGGGACTTTCTTGGAACGAGGGAAGTGATCTGTGAAGAGGACGAGAAACAGAGCAATGGGAAAGTCTTCAAGAAGGTAAAGAAATAGACAAACTTTAATGATCAAGTGAACTGTTTATGTCATTGTTAATCACCTGCAATGCACTGTCCACTGTCTTATCTTTAATTCTTATCAATTTGTATTTTTTTTTATGTTTTTTAATATTTTTGTAGACATATTCAAAAAAATTTCAAATAAATTTTAGCGTGACTCTGCAAAAACCCCTTACAGATATATGGAGTTAGAGGAGGAAGAGACAGTGAGTCAGCTTTTCGCTGTGGTGCAGAGCCAATTGTGTTTTTATTGTGAGTGATGTCACGTCTCCACAGATTTGCCCTGTAACTTGGCCTGGTGGTTTGTTTTCATGTAAGTGTGAAGTCATGCTGTGGAATATTCCAGACAAACCAATAATATCTTCATTGAGATACCCCATGGTGCACTAGACACCAGAATGGTAACTGTTATGTGCCACAGGGGTTTATGGGTTTAGGGGATGTAAAAAGAAACCAGGCATCGAACAAAAATGAAAGCATGGTGAAGTGCTCAAAAGAAATAATAATTACAAAAATTACTGAAGTATACAAAAATCAGATAAAGTTAAATAACACAAAAAAGCCTACGTTTACTATATGATGACGGTCTGAACAGAAGATGCAAAAGTGGCATCGCGTCTTCACTTTGTACTCTGTGTTTAGACGAGTATTTTCAGGAGAAAATCTACGTATGTACGATGACTCAAAAGTGTGTGGAATTGGGTATGCATGCCAGGTGGCTAGGTGGGGACGCTAGGTGGTTATGTATGGGACGTAAACCTGTATGCAACATGAGCAGGTGTGACCAGAGTTTTGCGTCTTGGGCAGTGTAGATAGAAACACTACGGCGGAGCATATTCAAATTTTCTACTCTGGAGGGTGGTTTCAGATTTTTGCATTTTAAAAACGCCATCGCTATCTAAATGAAAAGCGCTTCCAATAAAATATTTTGTTGTTTTTACCCACAAGCGTTCTCATGTAAACAGGCCCTAGATTCACTGCAGCAGTGGATCCACTGGTCGCTTTTCTTGTGGCAGCTCCGGGCTTATATACTCCCGGCTGATCAGGCGGGCCAGGTGAGGCTGATCAGCTGGGCGGATCTGAAGAGGGCGGAGGCAAGGCCAAACAAGAGAACTAGGACATTGTGTGTCACTGTTACATTCTGCAGTAAATACTTTCAGTATATTTACCTTTGTCTGTCAAATGCAAATGTTTTGACCTGGTTTATGATTAATGTTTGTAATTCACATGAAACAAAAGTTCAGTGTCATCCAGTGAGCAGAAATAAACTAAGGCACTTTTTTACTATTACAGAATTTTTAAATCTTACCATTAAAAAAAATAATAATTTATGTGAAAAAAAAAAAAAGTTCATTCAATTCATTTGTAGTTTTTATGCTGGCCAACATTACCACATATCAGCTCTGGTTTAGCCCACTAATCTTATAAACTGATCAAAATAAGCCATTTAAACCTCACTGTCGAAACACTCACTGTATTACACTGAAGCGTGTCTCAGCTGTTCTACATGGGGCCATTGTTTCACTGTAACTGACCTAGTCTGGCCGTTTGGGTGCATGGGCACTTGATAACCAGTAGATGGCAGTATGAACCTAACTTCTACTCTCTTTACATACCATGTTTTCCTCAGTCATGCTGTAATATCTTTATATATATATATATATATATATAAATTGTATATCCGGCTGTATGTATTCACTAATTGCATTATAGCATTAGTAATAAAAAATAATTATATTGACACTTTGCAGCTGATCGACATTCAGCGGTCATTAACATTCTCTGGGGGTGTGATGCTAACTGTAGAGTCTGCTTTGTCTGAAACTCTGTTACTCAAATTAGACTTAATCTGAGCTGTGTTTTAACACATCGTAAGGACTGAGTTAGTTGGAACTACAGGCAGTGATGATAGTAGTCACATTTTTTGAAAAGTCCATAGGAAAAATCAATGGAAACTGTCCTTTCAGAACTGGAGAGGTGATCACTGTTGAGCTCCATAGTAGTAATTGCTCCTCTGTGTTGCCCCCTGCAGGTGATCCTGGGTCAGTACCGCTGGCTGTCGTATGAGAAGGCCCACAGGTTGGCGAGGCAGTTTGGCAGTGGACTCTTGGCTTTGGGACAACAGCCCAAAAACAATATCGCCATCTTCTGTGAGACGAGGGCAGAGTGGATGATCGCTGCTCAGGCCTGCTTCATGTACAACTTTCCCTGTAAGTCCCTCACAAACATAAACATGCTCCGGCTATATAAACACAAAAGAATTACATCTGACAAAGATAGAGGAAAATCTAAATCAAAACTTAAATTTTAATGGTTGCGATTAGAGTTCATTATTATGTTTTTGTTTGTAGCCTAAACCTATAGAGGATATACAAGTTTCATACGTATATGTACAGACCATGTCTCATGTGAAAGCTCAGAAGCTCCAGAATTCCCTCACTAGCACTGATTCATGATTTTTGCTGGAGCTGGGGTTTAGGTAGGGGCCATTCAGATCAGAGAGAGTGCTTTTAGGTTTAAAGCAACTGGATATCAGCATTGAAACCAAGTGAGAGACTTGTGTGAGGCTCATTCTGGTTTCTGATTGGATAATTGTTTTGACAGTAACTTGGTCATCACATCCAATCTTTTTGTAGAATAAATAAGCATTTGAATTGTTAAGGAAAAGCTAGGTTTGATTTGAACATGTTTACTTTTTATCTGGGGACACAGATAAGTAATGTTTATGGAATTTTAAATAAAACACTTTCATATGATTCCATTAATGACCCTTTTAAGGCCACACAAAAAAAAAAAACAAAAAAAAAAACTGGCTCCCTATGGACAGTTTTACTTTACTTGTTTTACTTTTATTATCAATTTTACTTTTATTATCACTTTCTGTGTTTAGTCCAGTGTCATTACAGTAAACTGAGGAAGGTCAGCTCGCCCTTTCAGTTTTCTCATTAGAAGTGTTTCCTCTCTCCATCTCAAGTGGAACACTACAGTCTTGTTAAGATGATGGCACACAGGCTTTTCTTAGTTATTTGGCAGTATTATTAATTAGTAATATTCATATATAGGAGCAGTTTTTCTGTTCTGTTTTTAAGTGCTTTGGTGTTGTGTTTTGTGTAATTTATAATTCTTATTATAGAAACTGTTTGAGGGACTAAACCAGGACTAGAGCAGGACTAGAGCAGGACTAGAGCAGGACTAGAGCAGGACTAGAGCAGGACAAGAGCAGGACAATATCAGGATTGTCTGGTATCTGGTCTCTGTTCTCTACTCTCTGGTCTAGTCTCTATTTTCTGGTCTGGTCTTTAGTCTCTGGTCTCTGGTCTCTGGTCTGATCTGGTCTTTGGCATCTGGTCTCTGGTCTCTGGTCTCTGGTTTTTGGTCTTTTGGTCTCTGCCCTCTGTCCTCTGGTCTCTAGTCTCTGGTCTAGTCTCTATTCTCTGGTCTCTGGTCTCTGGTCTCTGGTCTCTGGTTTTTGGTCTTTTGGTCTCTGCCCTCTGTCCTCTGGTCTCGAGTCTCTATTCTCTGGTCTGGTCTCTGGTGTGGTCTCTGGTCTCTAGTCTTGTCTCTGGTCTCTAGTCTTTTGGTCTCTGGTCTCTGGTCTCAGGTTTTTGGTCTTTTGGTCTCTGCCCTCTGTCCTCTGGTCTCGAGTCTCTATTCTCTGGTCTGGTCTCTGGTCTCTGGTCTGGTCTCTGGTCTCTGATCTGGTCTCTGGTCCTTGGTCTGGTCTTTGGTTTTTGGTTTTTTGGTCTCTGGCCTCTGTCCTCTGTCCTCTGTCCTCTGGCCTCTGTCCTCTGGTCGCTGGTCTGGTCTCTGGTCTGGACTCCGATCTTGTCTACGTGAGGATTTGCTGTTGACAGAGGCTTGGGGGAGGAGTGAACCCATTATAGAATCTAAACTATGCGTGTGACAGTTTGTGCATATGTGGATGTATGTGGTGCATGCAGAAGGTAATATGTGGATCTTATCTGCTGTATGAAACAAAGCTGTGGTTTTAATTGTGTCTTTATCAACTATACTAATGTTTTTGTACTAGATTTTTACTAGTTCATTTGCAGGTTGGTTTGCAGTTTTGTACAGTTTTTCCTCACTTACTTTATGCATTCTGAGCATTCAAATTATTCACCACGATGAGTTCATAAGCACCTCTGACAACTTTCAGAAATCAGAGAGTTTTGCCGTGACATTAAAGCTAAGGACAACTAGCATGCTAATGCACCCTTCCTGATTATCAAGCTAGAAAATGCTTTCCAAATAGATGTAGACAGTACACAGTAGACATATTTTGACCTCAACAGCTACTTATTATATACTACACTGGGAGGTAATGCTTGTCTCCATGGAGATATATTATGCTTTACCAAATGTCACAAAGTATGGCTTTAGTCTAGGTGTGTGCATTGCCATGAATCTGGCGATACGATACGTTAAGATTCAACATGATGATATACTGTGATTCAGATTTATCAATAGCATATAATGGTCAAGTGCATTAGAACAAAACAGTTTGAAATATAAAGTTTTGTATTTTTAAATCATGAGGACAGCAAATGGAAAAGGACACACTTTGAATTTATATGAGAATAGCACACTGAAATATTGAGGCACATCTCTGAATCGTTTTTTTCTTACACCCCCTACATTAAACTTATCAGCGTTTATTCAATTACAGGAGGACAAGAACTCAAACTTGTATAATCGAAACACGGTCCCATCCTCCTTATCCTGGAGTCGCTCCCTTCTTTCCGTTCCTCTGCGTCTGAGCTAACCCGGGGCCCACCCCGTTGTTTATATCTCAGGGTGGGAGGTGTCACGGCCTCGTTCACTCGTCCTCAGAGCAGGAAGTGATGACGCAGGATGATGATGTCACGCTGCCCTGTCCCATAAACCCCCAGTGTCCTCTCACACCCTCCCTGCACCTCAGCTCTGCTCTAAGAACGCCTCAGACTTTCCATTGTGTAACTGTCACGCAAGAATACGGCAATCTGCACACATATAGGGAGGAGGGAAAAACAAAACAAAACTCAAGAGTTCACCATTTTAATATAACAGGGCTGAAGTCCTTTAGTTGACTGTGTCTTAGTCAATCAAAATTTGTATAAGTTGACTAATAATATTTTATATATATTATAAGGATTTATATGAGACAATGGCGGAAAGGAAAAGTTAGTTATACATTGTTTCAAGATTTTTTTTTTGACATGAATAGTTGTTTTTGAAGGTATTTTTTTGCAGTGCAGTTTGGTTCAGTTATAGGGATGAATCGATATGATACTGGTATTGGATATTGAAAATTTGGAGGGATAGATAGTGGATCGAATATCGGTGTTCAAGATTTCAGTTTAGCCCATTTTGGTTTTTAAACTGGTATAAAAATGACATGAAAACATCTCATAGTATTAAAGTGTTCTGTAATCACTTTAAATGATAAATACCAGTTACAAAAACATACACTGTTTGTGTTTAAAGGAAATAAATTCTGATTTCAGTCTTGGTAGATATTTAAAGCCAAAGTATCGACATTGGTATCGGAGAAGAAAAAGGTGGATCAGTGCATCCTAAGTCAGATACATACATACATACATACATACATACATACATACATACAAACATACATACATACACACACACACACACACACACCACGCACACGCACGCACACACACACACACACACACACACACACACACACACACACACACACATACATACATACATACATACACACACACATACATACATACATACATACATACATACATACATACATACATACATACATACATACATACATACATACATACATACATACATACATACATACATACATACATACATACATACATACATACATACATACACATACATACACAACACATACATACATACATACATACATACATACATACATACATACATACATACATACATACATACATACATACATACATACATACATACATACATACATACATACATACATACATACAGACAGACATACAGACAGACATACAGACATACATACATACATACATACAGACAGACAGACAGACAGACAGACATACATACATACATACACACATACATACATACATACATACAAACAAACAAACAAACATACATACATACATACATACATACATACATACACAAACATACAAACAAACAAACAAACAAACATACATACATACATACATACATACATACATACATACATACATACATACATACATACATACATACAACATACAAACAAACAAACAAACATACAATACATACATACATACATACATACATACATACATACATACAAACAAACAAACAAACATACATACATACATACATACATACATACATACATACATACACAAACAGACAGACAGACAGACAGACAGACAGACAGACAGACAGACAGACAGACAAACATACATACATACATACATACATACATACAAACATACATACATACATACTTTTGCCATAAATAATACAAAAATAATAAATACTAATAATTAGAAAAGCACAAACTTGTCACATACTTTTTACAATAGAGGTCTGTCTTAGTGCTTCCTATTTAGATGATTCCACTTGGCATTTTCTAAACTGTTTAAATATTCTGTTACGGACTTGTGCATTTTCTCATGTTATTTTGTCAGTGGTGACCCTTTACTCCACTCTGGGAGGTCCAGCCATCGCCCACGGTCTAAAAGAGGCAGAGGTCACTCACATCATCACGAGCAAAGAGCTGCTAGAAACCAGACTCAAGGTACCAACACATGGAGTTAACAATCATACATGCTTTCATATATGTTTCTTTCTACTCTCATAATTAAGGCTTCAGTGACTAACCAACTAATTGTTACTAGACAAATCTGTAATTCTCAATACACGGTGGCTAGTACAGCAAGAAGGTCAAAAATGCAGGGCTCTGTTTTGCTCCATTGAACAGAATCTGTGAATAGCAAATCACCTTGGTTCTGTCTGAATGTTGTTAGATTTGCCTCAGTCTAGTCTTCAAAAAACAAACTTAAGACTATCAAAAATAATGACTACCAAGTGTTCAAGTCATTTCCCTTGTGAATCAATAAAGTTTGGTTAAATCCAAGTGTACTGTTTGTCAGTCTTGTAGTGTATTATTTTATGTTATGTTATGTTTTGACCAGGCCATCCTAATAGAAGTGCCCAGACTCCAGCACATCATTGTAGTGGATGACTACCCCTCCTCATGGCCCGGTTTCCCGAGAGGCGTCAGTGTTCACAATATGGAAGCTGTTCAGAAGCTCGGAGCAAAGCCTGAGAACGGTATGTTTATTATCTTATGGTAAACTGTATTTTAATCATAATATGTTGGATACTGAGCAGAGGATGCAGAGAAGAGGGTCAGATGGAGCAGAAGATGCAGAGGAAAGGGTCAAACAGAACAGAGGAGAGGATCAGATGGAGCAGAGGAGTAGAGGAGAAGGTCCAATGGAGCAGAGGATGCAGAGAAGAGGGTCAGGTGGAGCAGAGGAGAGAGTGTAATGGAGCAGAGGAGAGAATCAGATAGAGCAAAGGAGCAGAGGAGAGGGTCAGATGGAGAAGAGAAGCAGAGGAAAGGGTCAGATGGAGAAGAGAAGCAGAGGAGAAGGTCAGATGGAGCAGAGGAGAGGGTCCAGTGGAGCAGAGGATGCAGAGGAGAGGATCAGAGGAGTAGAAGAGAGGGTCAGATGAAGCAGAGGAGAGGGTCAGAGGGAACAGCAGATGCAGAGGAGAGGATTAGAGGAGCAGAAGAGAAGGCCAGATGGAGCAGAGGATGGAGAAGGGAGGAGCAAATTATCAGTCAAAATGTCCATGGTGCTTATATATGACAAAGTAGCCTTAAAGGTGCACTAGGTAAATGTTCTGCTTGTTTTCGTGGAGATGTTATTGCTTATTCTGAAAATGTCCCACAGTATAGCATACATTTCTCATCTATCTATTCAATTTCAGGTGTAGATCAATTTAATGCCATACTATGGAACATTTTAAGCAAAGCAGTAACATTCTTATGGAGACAAGTAGACCCCTCTCCAGAAAGGTTACACAGTGCACCTTTTAAAATGCACAAATTATACACATGTCTTTGAATGTTTACCACAGAAATGTAAATAAATACCAACAGAAACATGCACAGCTACAGAGATGTTGTGTCTCTATGTGGTTTTAACATAGTGAGATAGTTTTCCTGTTTTGGTCGAGTGGGTCGTGTGAATTAGACTTGTTAACATCTGGATCGGATTAACAGATTCGATGCCCGCCTGAGACCAAGGAAGAGCACTGTACTCCTCCATGTCTTTACTGTGACCTTTGAACCTAGAGACCCTTAAACACAGAGAGGAGGGAGGAGGGAGGGGCGGATGTAGCTTCATGGAGGAGAGGTTTGCAAAGATTTTCCCAGAATAGCTTAATTGATTGAGTGATGGTATTCAATCTGCAATGATGATGTATTTTAAAGTAAAGTAAGTGTGTGGAGGCTGAAGGAATATTATAAACTTGAATAAAATGTATTGTGTCTACTCTGGGCCTGTGTTTCATTTGTGCACATGTCCAAGTTTCATGCTGGGTTGATAGTGTGAGCTCAGCCCTATAACAGTTCTGTGTATTCCCCTCAGCTTCTTGTGAGCGTAAGCAGCCTCTCCCCTCAGACATCGCGGTCATTATGTACACCAGCGGCTCCACAGGGGCACCCAAAGGAGTCATGATCTCCCATAGCAACATCTTGGCGGGAATCACGGGCATGGCCGAGCGCATCCCCAACCTCTGGTGAGTGGGCAGATACAAACAGGTTTTAACCACGATATAATGGATCTCCCTCATCATTATCACACTCAGTTGTGTCATGTTGTGTTGTGCCATGTGTGTTGTCAGTTGTGGTCTGCATTTGAGTCACTAGTCTACACCCTATTCCAGCTCACAGCCCTTTATGTCAAACATGTAAGGTTATAAAATATCACATAGGCCATTTACACTGAACAAAATGTGTAATGATTATCTACTTATGGTAGGGCTATAACAAGTAAATTGATAGATCGCAACTAATAGATTACTGAAATAATTGTAATAATTGAGAGAAGAGGTTTTAGGACACAACAAATTTATTAAAAATCTCAGTTTTAAACAACAAATCAGCCCTCATTTATTGTACAGTTCAATACTAGGATAGCCAGGCTGGCGCCATTTAGTGCCTCCACTCAATTTAATTTCTCTCCAGCGAATAGGTCAGGAATCGGAATACAATAGACAGTTCACACAAACCCCAGAAATGTGAGTTCAGGCACCAGCCAATCAGCGAAGAGCCATACATTCTGTGTTGTGAATGATTCCCAAGATCAAGCTTTGAAGGCCAGAACAAAAAGAATGTTTGGTGAATTTTATCAAGGGGAAAGACATTGTTGCCCTTCTTCCTACGGAATTTGGGAAAAGCTTAATATACCAGTTAGCCCCGTTAGTGGCACATTACATATGTCACGACCAAATAGCAGCGATTGGTTAAATGAAAAAAGTACCCGCCTACCGTCGAGCGAACGAATTCTAACACTGTGAGGTCAGACTGTTTCTACGAAATGATACCGGCTGATGAATCAGGCTAATACTAGGAGCCTTAAAGCATAATATATCTTCTTTGAGTAATCATCATCATCATGTCCTGCTACACAAAAAACTGAAAATCGAGGCGGGTTCAGCAGACAAATTAAATCCTTTGAACAGGAAGTCAGTGGACCAGTTTCTATTACTTTTCGATCATTGTTGTGGTTTACAATGAACATAATGTATAATAAAGATGTATGGCTATGCAATAGTTTATCACTAAATACAAAATACAAAAACCATGATATGTTGTGTAACTTTGGTGCATACATCCATGTGAGTACCTGTCCTTTCACAGTGAGAAGGACACATACATCGGGTACCTGCCCCTGGCCCATGTGCTGGAGCTGAGTGCGGAGCTGGTGTGTGTCTCCCATGGGTGTCGCATTGGCTACTCCTCCCCGCAAACATTAGTTGATCAGGTACAGGCCAGAAAACAGGATTTTAATGTAAATTTCTTTAAGACAAATTCATGAATGTATACTAATGTACTAACTCGCTCTTTCTCCCTCTCCTTCTCGATCTTTCTCCTTTCTTATCTTTATCTCTCTCCAGTCTACAAAGATAAAGAAGGGAAGTAAAGGAGACACGAGCGTTCTGCAGCCCACTCTGATGGCAGCTGTCCCAGTGAGTTGCGATAACATTCATAACCGCACTATACATTTTTGATTCAAATGAATGAAATGAGTCAGATTTAGAAAGCTCTTTTGTTCCTTCTCAAAGCATTTCACAACCAACGAAGAACAGAGTGAAAGAAATTGAATATCACGGTGCGTTCGAGGACTTGAAAAATCCTGAGAAACGCTGTGAACACCCCCGCTCTGTAATCCTAGCGGTTGGAGGTCAGAGGGATGGAGTCTGAAAATGTAAACACAACGTGACAACAAACATCGCATATTCACACGTACTATAGGAAGAGCAAGAACGGGTTTGGTCCAAGTTCATTAGATCTGGTTCTAGTTCTGGTTTAGTCCTGGTTTAGTCTAGTTGGTTTGGACCTTGCTGTAATCCTTTTTTAGTCAATCAAGTCCATGTTTAGTTCTTTTTCGGTTTAGCCTTTTATAAATCTATCCTTGGTCTATTCCCATTTTAGTCCTACTTTAGACTTCTTTTCATTTAGTCCTAGTTTGTAGATAGTTTATACTCCTTATTTATGTCCTGGTTTAGTCTGCATTCTGTTTTGTCATTCACGTAGTAGCGTTTTGCATCAATATTGCAATTCAAAATGTCCTATATGACAGACAAAAACATATTCTTTCTTCTTTAATTTTCATTTAGTCCAGTTTCAGACCTCATTTAGTTCTGGTTTAGTTCTATATTCCCTCTTATGTTTGTTTTGTTAACATATGGGTTGTCGGTTCTACTTCCGCAGCTCCTCTTAGTCCAGATGTTTAATTTTGCCCTTTCCCCCATTTGTGTGTGGAGCCAAGTCATATGACAGATATCATTAGGCTGAGTGTGAGAGAGAAGAAGCAATTGTGGTTAAACCAAGACTAGACTGCAACTAAATTAGAGCCAAAACAAGACCAAATCAGGATTAAACCAGGATCAAACCAGGATCAAACCAGGATCAGGATCAAACCAGGATTAAACCAGAACTAAACCAAGACCGAACTACTTCTAAATTATGACAGAACCAGAACCAAACCCAAAATTAGATCCAAAACCTGGACTAAACCAGTGCTAAAACAACAACCATATCTGGACTGAACCCAGTACTAAAGTAGGACTAAACCCAGGATTTAGGTAAGACTAAACAATTTATAACTAAATATGAACCAAGAGTAAACTGCAACTAAATTAGGACTGAACCTTGGCCAGTCTGCACAAAACCAGAACTAAACCAGTGCTAAAACAAGGACCATATGTGGTTTAAACCCAGTACTAAACTAGGTCTAAACCCAGGACTTGAGCAGGACTAAACCATTTGTAACTAGACATAAACCAAGACAAAACTACAACTAAATTAGGCCAATCTGTACAAAACTAGAACTAAACCATGGCTAGTGCAAGATTAGACCAGGGTTAAACCAGGACTAGACCTGGACTAGCCCAGGACTAGACCAGAACAAGACCAGGACTAAACCAGGACTAAAACTGAACCAGACCAAGACCAAGAATTTAAGACTTAAATATGTGTATCTTATTTAAACCTGGATTCAACTACAACTAAATATGGATAAATGAATCTGAATCCAACCAGTTCTTATCTTGGCCTCAAGCAGAACGAAACCAGGTCTAAAGCAGGACCAAACTCAGACTAACCCCAGGATTAAACACAGATAAAACCAGAATTCAACCAGGATTTATCCATTTTAATCTCTTTAAAATCCTAAGGGAGGTTTCTGTTGGACAGTGACAGCAGATTTTATGAGCTCCATAAAGTTTGTTCCTTTGGTTTTGTGGGTCACTTTACGCTGAGAGTCCTACTGGGATCATGTTTGTTACCACAATACGGAGAGGACACATGTGGTAGATTCATTTTCAATTTGTATAGCCTAAATTAGTTCAGATATATTGCAAAAGCAGTTCTTAGGGTCAAAATGAGACTGCTCTGTGCTGTCTGCGTTACAAACCATTGTTATTTTTGTGAACCAGGAATACCATGCAGATAAGCAGTGGTGGATCATCTGCCAGAACAAAAAGTTACACAGTGCTGCTTTAAATGTAATCATCTATATAGATCTTTATTTCTTGTTTTTTTCCCTGTAGGAGATAATGGATCGTATCTATAAAAACATCATGGGCAAAGTGGAGGAGATGACGTACTTCCAGAAAACGCTCTTCACTTTGGCCTACAGCTACAAACTGAACCAGTTCAGCAAAGGCAACAGCACTCCTCTGTGCGACAGGTGGGACTAAACCAGGACTAAACCAGGACTAAACAAAGACTAAACCAGGATTAAACAAAGACTAAACCAGGACTGAACCAAGACTTAACCAGGACTAAACCAAGTGTAAATCAGGACTCCACCAGGGTTAAACCAGGGCAGAACCAGAGCAGATAGAGGGCTAAACCAGGACTAAACCAGGAATAAACCAGGACTGAACCAGGACTAAACCAGGACTGAACCAGAAATAAACCAGGACTGAACCAGGACTAAACCAGGACTGAACCAGAACTAAGCCAAGGCTAAACTAAGAGTAAATTAGGACTACACCTGGGCTAAACAAGGGCAGAACCAGGACCAAACAAAAACTAAATCAGGACCACTAAGGCAGAACCAGGACTAAACCAGGACTAAACCAGGACTTAACCAGGGTTGAACCAGGACTGAACCAGGACTAAGCCAGGAATAAGACAGGAATTAGACAGGACTAAACCAAGAGTAAATCAGGACTACACCATGGCTAAACCAGGGAAGAACCAAGGCAGAACCAAGATTAAACCCAGACTAAACCCAGACTAAACCCGGACAAAACCAGGATTAAACCAAGACTGAACCAGGGCTGAATCAGGACTAAACCAGGACTAAACCAGGTCTGAACTAGGACTCAACCAGGTCTGAACTAGGACTAAATCAGGACTAAACCAGGATTAAACCAGGACTAAACAAAGTCTTAACCAGGACTAAAACAGAACTGAACCAGGATTAAACAGAAATAAATTAGGAGTAAAATGTCATGACTACATCTCTAATATTTACAATATATTGACAGTATATTGTGTATTCCAGACTGGTTTTCCGTAAGGTGCGCTCTCTGTTGGGTGGGCGTGTCCGGGTGCTCCTGTCGGGGGGTGCTCCTCTGTCTGCGGCCACTCAGCGCTTCATGAATGTATGCTTTTGTTGTCCTGTGGGTCAGGGCTACGGACTGACCGAGACCTGTGGCGCTGGGACTGTCAGTGAATGTACGTGCTATTTTACTACTACTGCTTAGAGCAGTATGAATGGATACTATTAGTAAATGACAAAACTGGTATTTCTGAAGTAACATAATTCCCTTACCTGGCCAGCCAGAACCACAAAATATTACTCAACTCAGGTAAAATAAGTTATATATTTTGTTCTGAATTAAAAATTTTGGAGGGTAGATGTGAATTTCGAGGCTATGGATGGATTATCTCAAGTGGGGACGAAAGTTTTTCACGCTATTGTCACACAATGTAGAAGGGAATGGCTGGTCAGACAAACGATTTCCTTGACAAACAACAAAATATCCTGCCTTATTCTGCATATAAACTGCTAACCCTGTACAAACATGCTCTGAAATGTGATTCCAGTATTACTTTGTCAGTTCACGTTTCAGTCTTTTTGTCAATTCCTCAGTAGTTTAAAATGCGAATTATGAGCAGAATCCAATTATTTAAACATAAATCACACAAAACACAGACACACACACACACAAAAATTTTAATAAAATCCAATATTTCTAACATTTCTCAAAATTCAAGCCTATTTTTTCCCTCCAAAAGGTTATTTCAGAGAATCTTGTTCGGAAACTCCCTCCACTTGAATCAATAGTGCTCGGAAAGTTTGTCTTTTTAAATGGTTGATTTTTTCCTTCATTTAACCTCTGCTGCTCCAATCTGCAGACTCCTATGTAAGTCTGCGGAGTCCTTCAGTTATCAGTTTGCAGATCAGGGAGAGACTTTCCCACAGAAATAATGGAGTTTCCAGAGTTAAGACAATAGTGACCATGACCAGATAAGACAAAAGGATGATTAATGCTCTGTACGTGAGGTATTGGGTTTATTAATTATATAAATGTGAAAACTTTAATAGAAAAACAAATGAATCATACACTTTGTGATCATTTCCAGAGGGGTTTACTACTCAACCACTCAATTATATTTTAGTAACAATGTTCTGGTCTTAATCTTTTAGTTTTTCTAGTGAGAACCTAAACTTCATATACACATTTAAGAAGACATATGCTTTTTGACATTTAGTTTGATCTATGATCCCTTTTGAATCATAATTTTATAGTTTTGACATTGTAATGGTAATATTGCTCTAAACCAACTTGATAAAATAAGTAGGTTTGCACTTCGACTTCAGCTTATGGTTAAAAACTGCAGCTCTGCACAGGACAGGAATTGGCATTTAGACAAAACTATCACCAAACGACCTCCAAAAATATCTAACTGGATCCAGAACCATTGTTGTGTTTGACAAAAAATCTCATCTGATCTCTGAAGCTGTGCAAGGGTTGGGCATGGTTAGTACTTGGATGAGAGACCACTGGGAATATTGAGTACAACTTTTCATACTAATAAATAATTCATTGGTAGTATAATTACATTTATACATCAATCAGAACAATCAAAACATGAGAAATTATACCTTAGAACTCTGACCCTTTCCTCCATTTAGTTTTCAATCATTTATCATGATGGCAACAGTCCAGATTTTTAAAACACTATGACATCATGTGAACCCCTCCTATCACATCGTCCTGCATTATTCCCCAGGTCTTACCAATAGTACATGCTTGTGAGCCTGTTAGCCGAGGGTGGGTTTTCCTCTGGGATGTGGTTTCCATGGCGAGGGAGCGTGTGAGGTCAGGTTGCCGTGGTGACAGGATGAGTTTTTTATTTTATTCATTTATCTTAAAGGGATGTGTTCAGCTTTCATACTGTGATGTCAGATGGCGAGCGTAGGACCATAATTATGTTTAGGTGAGGTAGTAGGAAATTATGATTGAGTCCACAAACTTACTGCAGTATACATGGGTTTGGGTTTCAGAATTATGAACAGTTATGACAGTTGCCATAGCAATTAACAATACAAAACCAACTATTGCATATGTTTATATGGTCAATAGTCCTCAAAATGGAAACTAGAACCCATGAATACTTTTTGGTTTGACTTAACTTCTACTTTTTGATCTGAGCTTTATTTTAAAACAGTCTGACCAGAAAGAACTGACTTGGTTGGAATGACAATGGGTGAGATGATTTTTACTCTTAAACAAGTCCTTCTTAATAAAAAATAAATAAATAAAAAAAAAGTCACAAGCTAAACAGCATTAGACAACAGTATTTCAGTTAGTCAATCTCACCATTTTAAAATCAAACTCCTAAACAGGACCATGAACGCTCATTTTGTTCACAGGCTCCTGAAAATGTGCTGTTTAAGTCCATTTTGTATTTTTTTCTTAAGTTTTCAGAAAATCTTAAAAAACTATGGTAACTGCTGAACATTCTGCCATACACATACATTTAGAACACCCCCAGCGCCATGTCACTGCAAAGTATCAATAGATTGTGGTCATTTTAAAACAATTCAGTATTTTTTTTGTATTCATGTGACTTTTTGGTATTCAATCAGTCAGTAAATCTTTATTTATATAGCCTTTTACAACACTCAAGGAGACCAAAGTGCTTTGTTTTTATACTTCGTTGAGCATCTTGTTTCGATATGATTTGAGTGTCAATTAGTACCAGGGTATTGACTTTTGATAACCCTACAGTTCAAAACAAAATCAAATCAAGATAAATTTCATCTGTAATTGTCATGTTGTGTTTTGTTCTAGTGTGGGACTACAGCACAGGCAGAGTGGGAGAGCCTCTGGTCTGCTGTGAGATTAAGCTCAGAGACTGGGTCGAAGGTGAGTCGGACTTCAACCTGTCACCAGACTCACATCTTCTCAAAGTACTCGCAAAAGTCCACATTTATTTTCAGGGTTGCACCAAAGAGTTTTAATTCTGTTTTGGTTCCATTTGCTCAGCCCTAAGGTTGTCTAAAGCCTTACTGTTGTTTAATGTATTAACTTTAAAGTCACTGCTCTTGCTGTTGCTGTGTTGTAGTAATTTGCTTATTGTATTGAACTACACCTACAGTCCTTTTATTATTAAGGTAGAAACAACCACTCAAAATCCAAGTATAATCAGAATCAGTACTTGAGAAGCCTGATCTCTGCATCTCTGGGGACAAACCTTGTTCTTGTTATTGTGCATTTAAGCTGGATATCGGAGCACGGACAAGCCCCATCCCAGAGGAGAGATCTTGATTGGAGGTCCGAATGTTACGATGGGCTACTACAAAACTGATCCCAAAATGCAACAGGACTTTGAGGTGGACGAGACCGGCCAGCGCTGGTTCTGCACTGGGGACGTTGGAGAGTTCCATGACGACGGATGTCTGAAAATAATTGGTAAGAATTTAACATAAATAATGTAATAACATGGCTGCAGTGGCTGAGTGGCTCACGCTACAGAGCAAGAAGACTCTGGGTTCGACTCCCAGGTCACCCAGTTCATTCTGTTTGGAGTTTGTGTGTTTCTCCCTGTGTTGCTGCACTGAATTATGGGTCAAACGCAGAGTACAAATTTCCCTATGAGGACAATAAAATGTACCTTAACTGTATGTTCCTCTATGTCGGACCATCAACTAAATGTCAAATCCAGCTATAGGTACTAACTTGAGCCTGATGATATGATAAAACAAATTGATCATCTATTTTAGCTGTAAAACCTCAGTACCTGAATAAATGCTAGATAGATCATTTTAATATTTCCATACCATGGAACATTCCAGGCAAAGCAATATACATCTCCATGGAGACAAGCATGCCGCAAATCCTCTGCACGCAGTGTGCTTTTTTTTTCAGGACTTTGAGAATTTAGACTGCACTGTTCAGCTGTGGTTCATTTCTAGGGAAACATGGCCCCTGGCCCTCACTTCCTGTGTGTAGTTCACACACATTATCTGTGTGTTTAGTATGTTCCATATAAACACAGTCACATGTAACACTCAGCTGGACCCATGTCTGTCCCATAGGGCAGGAAGAGGAGCATGGCATGATTCCACTGAAATAGAACATTAAAATCATACTTCCATGGAGATAGATTTCCATAGGGACAATCAGAGTACCAAGTAAGAGTCAGGTTGTCGGGATATGATTCTCTGTATTTGTCAGTGTCAGTGTTTCTCTGTATTTTTGGCCAAAAAGTTCAGTGGTGGGGCTTTATTCTTACATGACTGTAATTGAGCCCTGTGCATCTGTCTTGTTTTCAGACAGAAAGAAGGACCTGGTGAAGCTTCAGGCTGGAGAGTATGTGTCTCTGGGGAAAGTGGAAGCCATGTTGAAAAACTGTTCTCTCATCGACAACATCTGTGCCTACGCCAACAGGTCTGTGAACAACACCTACTGATGCTGCTGCTGATGTCATCACTTCCCAAGGAGTGTTTACTGCTAACTAGAGGCACTGCTCTGTCTGAAGTTCTGTTAATCAAATTAGATTTTAATCTGAGTTTTGTTTAACACAATTTGACCCAAAAGAACTGACTTGGTTGGGACTTTGTTGAAAATGAATCAATCATGTTTTTCTTGAGTTTTCAGATAATCTAAAAACATATCAGGCTGCGTTTGCTAATGTGTGCATTGTCTCACTACTACTAACTGTTGAACATTCCTCCATAGACATATATGAAGTACCCCCAGCATGATATCACTGCAAAGTATCTATAACAGTATTACTATTATTATGCACATTACAATATATATACAAAATCTAAAAAGCAATAATTGCAGGTGTAGAAAACATAAATAGAGTGTTACAATGCAATGAAATCAGGTTCTTAGATGGTAAACTATGGCTTACAGTTCCTTTGTATTAATTTCATATTTCTTTCCTTTCAGTGACGAGACATACGTGATTGGTTTCGCAGTGCCCAATCAGAAGCACTTCCTATCCCTGGCGGAACAATATGGCGTCCGAGGATCTTTTACAGAACTGTGCAACAACCCCACGATGGAGGAGCTGATGCTCAAGGTCCTGACGGAGGCGGCTCTGGCAGGTGAGGAGAGACCGGTGGGAATAGAATCCAACTAGGCATTATGCCTGTGCCTTTTAAAATTATTAAATCTTATCCTGTACATAGGTTTCAGAATAATGAAAAATTTGAACCATTGCCATAGTGAATATCAATTAAAAGTCCTCAAAATATTACATATAAAATGCAACATGCTCATCACAGTGGCTGGCAGTCACGCTTCACAGCACAAAGGTTCTGCAGTTTCTCCCATCAACACAAAACATGCACCATAACTCAAATTCTCCAGCTAAGGTCGTCCTGACCAAGACTAGCTCAAGCTCTGGAGATGGGTTCACAGATGCTGTGCAGTAGTTGCTCACTGGTCCTGACAGTTTGCCCTAATGGCACTTGTTAAAGGATGAGTCATATGCTGAGAAAGTATTTCCCTCACCAGGAATCAATAAAGCATACTTTACCTTATTTACCTTATATATGTTGTGAAGTTAGTTGTGGAGAGCAGAGAAAACAAAGGAGGAATTTTCAGATTTTGTTCTTTATATTTTATTTTTCAGCTCAGCTAGAGCGTTTTGAGATTCCTCGTAAGATCTGCCTCAGCCCTGACCCCTGGACCCCAGAGACTGGACTGGTGACTGACGCCTTCAAACTCAAGCGCAAAGAGCTCAAGTCCCATTATAAAGATGACATCGAGAGAATGTATGGCGGAAAGTGACCAGGAAACAGGAAATTATCTAATTTCTTCTTCAAACTTCTCTTCCATTAAAAATCTACTTAAAGGACTTGTACCTGATTTTGATCCAGGAGTCATGAACATGTTTTAGTTTGAACTTTTAGCTTTGCCCACAATCCTTCCTGCTGCACCATGACACAGAAAACTACTGTCTGGGATAGTATCATGGAGTTGTTTCCTTCTAGTTTTCCTATCTTTACTTAATATAAAGAAGAGCTTTTCGGGGTTGTTTTCCCTTCTCATTTCCTCTCTCAGTTGTATTTGGAGTGCATGCCATGCATGTTTGAGCGATCTTTTAAGTACTTGTTTTCAAGACGCCATATTTCTGATCAACTCCAGTTTTCACCTGTAGTGGTATACGCCCACTGCTCTCTACTTACTTTGTTCTCCAATTACATTTTCCACAGGATTTGGCAGCATCACATAATCATTTTGGTACAAATGAAAAAAATATCTGCAGCTCACTAGTCTGATGTGCAGTTGTCCATCAGAGGCACCCACAGCTTCATGGCTCTTTGTTGTAATGAAATGTATGCTGTTGTCTGCTCCCATTGAGCACTGCACTTTTAGATGAATAATTGCAAATTATAACAGAATGATCCACAGGTGTCATATTATCTACAACTACAGCAAACACAAGCACAATAGTCTTTTAAGCTTTAAGCTTTTTTGCCACTCCCATGATACAGTCTCAATATTTCTTATTTAGCTGCTATAAATATACAATGCATAATGTAAAGAGCATTTTTCTTGACTAGAATAATTTAAATCAGGTACCAGCCCTTTAACAGTGGTTGTAGAGTTTGTTTACATTACAGTGTCCCCCATTAATATCCCTGACACACAGAGTAAACTGATATTAATGGGGACTCTTTATATTCATATTAACCCTTTTACATCCCTTTTACTTGAATCTGTATAAAGGTACACCATGTAATTTTCTGGTGAGGGGTTGGCCACCTGCTTCCCTCCATGTACGCAGATATTAATGCCATGAGGTGGGACGTTCTTGGCAAAGTAATAACATCTCTATGGAGACATGCAGGTGGCTCACCCCTCACAGGAAAAGTTATATAATACACCGTTAAATTGCACATCTTGACGTGATCCAGGAAGTTTATTGTCATTGTGTAAAACTGTTAGACAGACACACAATGTCTCTGACCTTTGACCTCCTTTGAAACTTTGACCCCTGAACTCCGCACGGGAGAGAGAGTGTTGTGTTGTTTCAGGTGGGAGTTATGAAACTGCCCCATGTGGTGATCTGGTGAACTCTCCACTCTCTGTTGGTTACTGATTATTTTTATTGTTTTGCTTTTTAACCAGAGACTGACCTACCAATGGTCTAAACTCTTTTATATGGCAACCAGCCACATTCATATTTTGACAGTGAATGAACACAACAGTATGTGCATTATATGTTATAAGGTGGGTGGATAGAACTTCAAATAAGAGGATCATAACTTCGAAATGGTAGAAGTACAAAGTATTGGTCCAAGAAATTACTCAAGTTAAGAGTAAAAATTATTTGGGTTAGGGTTAGAAAGAAGAAAACCCTATTGTCTAAACAAAATATCAGATTTCAAATTTTAAATGTATGTAGTACAGGAAGGACAAAACTCTAAATAATTCAATGTCCATGCTCCCACATGACAATTCTCCATAAATATACAAAAACATGATACAAAACTGTACACAGCAACTTGACAAACCTGATGCGATTTGCACTAGTTTAATTAGTGTGTGAACGCTGGTTATGAAATAAAACATATAAAACATGTTCACGTGTTGCTTTCGGCAGATATAGTATTTTCAAAACTATAAAAGGTAACACAGCGATTTACATATGTTTTGTGTTACCCCCATAGAAGTAAAATAACCCCCTCTTTAATATTTCAGCTACAGCATTCACTTTTAAAGCCTTTCTGCAGGTCAGGAATATGGCTTTGTATATATTCATTCACAACTACAATAACACAAAGCACAATATGAAATAGTAATATTTGTTTAAATATTTCAGAAAAATTAACTTAAACTGGTGTCGCTACAATGCCTTTGGGTATGGATTTTGTAATTTTCTATCTCTTCTATAGATCACTGTATGAACAAATGCACAAATGATTTTTCCCATGAACTCACTGGTATGTTTTATGGTGCAATAAGGAGATGTATGATTCTGGCCCTATATGTTAGTAGTAGTTAATTTAAACAAATATTTATGGGCAGACTGTGTAACTTTTCTCCATAGAGATAATACTGCTTTACCTAAAATTTTTCTCAGTATTGCATTAAATATATCTTTTTTCACTGAGAAAAGCACTTCAAAGTACAAATCAGATCTCTGGAGAGGTGAGTCTGCTCACTGTATGAATGTTTTTATTTTTAGACAGTGACGCATTTCACAGGGGAAAATTTGAGGCAAAACAATCACATCCCCAAGGAGACCCATGCACCAGAAAAGTTACACAGTGTGGCTTTAAAGTTTTCTTATTCTTCCTGCACCTTTTCATGAAATGCAGGTGTTATAATGGTCAAAACAGTAACAAAACAAAATTATGGCCAAAATGTTGTTATATATATATATTTATATATATGAATTAATTTGTAATAAAGATACTGTATCATCAGCATACAATATGCATATTTTGCCATTTCATTTCAACTGTTTTTGGCTAAGGATTTCTTCACTGTTGCCCTATTATGTGCCTCTGTGTGAGAAGTGACATTATTTATTGTCTAAACTTAATAATACATTTTCATAGGAACAAACCACTCCATAAATGTACAGCTGAACGTGCCTGTAACATGTGAGCGTGTCCTGTTTTTGTCTCTGCACGGAATAGTGGAATAAATAAAAGAGTGTTTGGTCTGAGTGTCAGATCTGTTATTGTTCAGGTTTATAAATGTGATGAGCACTAAGGCCGTATACAGACCTGCTTTAGACCTGGCTTGGATTTGGTTTAGTCCTGATTCAGTCCTAGTTTAGTCCTCGCACAGGTCTGGTTTTGCTGTCATTGTTTAGTCGTGGTTTGGACATAGTTTAGACCTGGTTTAGTCCTGGTTTGGGTGCTGATCCGATAGCCCAATCGTCTCATTTTAAATGATTTTATTTATACAATTTAGGGTGTGCCTTTATAAACAATGACGTATTCCATGGTGAATTTTGCCCATAGACATACAGTCTATGAATAAAATTATTACCAGATGTAAAAAGGCCCACTTATAAATATATTTGACAATATTATAACAAATTAGTAATTTGTTGTAATTATGAATGTGTTATAATATTGAAAAATAATGTATTAAAGTCCTGCACAGTACAACAGCTTCAGGACATAGTGGCAGAGGCATTAGGAGATGTTTTATCTCACTGTTTCTAAAGGCAGATTTTCATCATATTATATTTACACTATGTTTGAGGCCTGTAAATACAAGAAGCCTGCCAAAGCACATGGCCGCTCTGGGTGTTAGCTGCAGCATTTGCAGTGGCAGCAGTGTGCAGACGACCAGTACACTGTATCAGCCCCATCTATTCACCCACTCTGATCCAAGCTGATATCTCTAGTGTTAAACCATAGGCTGTATATATAAATTGACATAGCTAAAGCACTAGCCACCACATTCCAAAGATCATGGGCGCAATTCCGGCTCCATTGACTCCGGTGTTCTGTCAAAATGGGCTACCCTGTCGAAATGAGCTATCAACAGCCTAACTTGACAATGACACCTCTAATCCAATCTATTGATTTACATTACCCTGTCGAAATACTCTACCTTACATTTGTTTGTTTGTTTGTTTTTTATAGTTGTATAAATCCAATAAAGCTAACCCCCCCAGTTTTACAATATATTTCTTTGGATAAGAATAATAATGATCAGACTTTATACATAAGTTATGTAAAATTTCAACTCATTTATATGAATATGAGTAGGTCGTATTATGCTATCAAATAGGGCTCTGACTAAAGGCAGCACATTCTGACAAGCCAATTGAGCCAGTGAATAATTCTCCCACTGTAGAATTACCATTATTTTTATATGAATTTGGGTAGAGGTAGCTCATTTCGACAGGTCTATATCTTCTATCAAATAAGGCTCACACTAAAGGTAGCACATTCTGACAAGACAATTAAGCCATTAAATAATGCTCCCACTGTAGAATCACCATTATTCACTCATTTATATGAATATGGGTAGAGGTAGTAAATCTTGACAGGCCTATACTATCTCCCAAATAATGTATCCACTAGAGGGCGCATACCTCCCCTTTAGGAGACATTAAAGATGGAACAATTCCATGCAATTACATTTTATTTATACAGCAGATTTCTAAGCAAAGTTACAACATTTTCTACACATGGAAACAAAATAAAATATGATGTAATGAAAATTTAAACGATACAATATTAAATTCAAACTATTCAGTCATCTAATGTAAGTATTCTGCAGCAAAACTTCTGCCTCAGAAGCTCAAATCGAAGGGCATTTAAACTCTAACAGCGCTTGCGAGTCAGGGAGACAACAGGTAGGCCATATTGACAGGACACCGGCTTCAATTCACTTTATACTGAAATATTGTCGCACCTCTCTCCTTGACTGTCAGGCTCCTCATTTTTTGTTTTAAAATGTTCATATTAACCCACTCCACATGATCTTGGTGTTTTTATTTCATTATTTCTTCCGTAAATGAATTCTTATTCCAAATATGGAACTCGGCCCCAGATTCACTCCCATAACAGCTAACCTCATGAGCATCATTTAGATCTGGTTTAGGCCTGTTTTTTGTCATTGTTTAGTCTTGTGTTGGTTTAGTTGTCACGTTCAGATTAGATCAGAAAAATAGGTCAGTCTTCTAAGACCTCTGGATGTGGTATTGAAATGCTCTCTTCTACTGTATATTACAAATCATGAATCATAATTCAAACAGACAGAGTAGCCCAACCTAAATATTAATAATAACATGTATAAACAGTGCAGTGTATACTTTCACTGTCTTTCTATCTGGCACTGTACACTAACCATGCACCTTAATCATGTTTTCTCAGTATCTGACCCACTAACCTAAATGTTGGTACAGTACTTTGATACACGCCATATATGCATACTGCCATTGTGTCATTGTCCAAGACACACCAATAAAATATACCTTATCTACAAAGACTATAGAAAGTTATATTTAACACTAATCCACAATCAGTAGTAACAGTAGCACCTTCACTCGGATCATTTGGATAAGTTCAGCCCCGAAATTACCAATCTCTACTAAAAGCTAAAAGGCAATGGTTAAAAACTACCGCTTCATGACATCACAAAGTGAAACAGACCATTTTGAGCTTCGGAGATGTAAATAAACTAATAATAAAAGATTACTCAAATATGTGTGAATAAAACAAAATACATCTCCAGGTATGTTGCTGATGAGGTAACAACATTTTAACATGACTTAAAGCCCGCAAGAGTCAATTTTGCTTAATATAGGACTTTTAAAAGTGTAGTTATTATAAAGTGTTACCACAGATTAAAGGAGAAAGGACCCACTGGCTGGACTGCCGCCTAACCACTCTGATAATGTTCATCCGTATACTCTATAAATGATTAGTTGTTTTTGAATGTTAAATCAAGAAAATTTATTTATTTTTTTAAGAATGTCAAGTTGCTCTCTCTCAGTTTTTATGATAATCAAAGGAAACCATCTAAAGTGGAAAATGGGCTCTGTGCCTAAAGAGCTGTTATTGTTGCTCCTCCCCTGCTCTCCACTTCTCTCTGTCCTCCCCCGTGTCCCATCAGCTCTGATCACTACAACAATAAAACATATTTAAAAAACGGCCAGTGTTTCTTAAAATGTGATTCATGTTCCACTGAATTGACTCTTGTGAGCTTTAAGTAATGTTATAATGTTTCCTTCCTTGTTTCCTTGTAAAAACTGTAGTTGTGTTTTATTTCATTCACACGTTTCAGTAACCTCATTATTAGTCTGTTTACATCTTTAAAGCTCAAAATTGCTCTGTTCCACTTTGTGATGTCATGTTGTGGTATAGTTTTCAGGTTAGCAGAGAACTTTTACCTTTAGTTCAGTAGAGATTGACAATTCCGAGTCTGAAATAATTCTGGTGAAGGTTTTTGTCTGTAAGTTTTACATCATATGACATCACAAGGTGGAACAGAGTGTTTTTAACTCAGGCTATAAATATGCAGGGTTTGTGTGTTAAAGCAGCAAACAACACACAATTCTGGGTATGTTTTCGATGAGGAAACAACATTATAACAGATCAGAAAATAGCGCCATTTAATTACACAAATTTCAAAATCATTCTTTAGTCATGTTTTTTGTAGTGCAGCCTTTAGACTAGCCTTGGTGGTACTTGGGAGAACAAAATACAATGTTATTTAGTACTTACAGCCCTAGAAATCAAAATTAAAAGTTAAAAAGTAGAAAGCAAAATAGACCAGTGATAACTGGTTTGAACAGGGTCCTCCCTGCTCCCCCCTCCACAGCTCTGGACCAAGGGGGTGTGTCACATGACTGCTGACGTATTTACCCCCTGTATAAACCTCAGTGTGGTGTGAGAAAGAGGAGGCAGATTCTGAGACAGTCCTGAGAAAAACCAGGCCCCACAAACCACATGAGACCAGAGTTTTACTGACCGGTGAGTAACCAGAACAACTTATATTATATTTTATTATATTATATTATATTGCATTACATTTTATTACACATTATTATATTATACTGCAAAAACTAGCAAATGACTTGAATTTGGAATATTTATTTTATGTACACTAGACATGAGTTTCACCTTCCTTTAGATGCTACATTTTGCAAACTTTTTCAACATTTAAGACATGTAATATTTAGTTCTAAATTTTAAACCGCCACGGCAACTGTCCTAAAAATTCAACAGTCTGAATATGAGCATTATTTTAAACTAACACCTAAACAGGACCATGAACGCTCGCATTGATCACAGACTCCTGAAAATGTGTTGTTTAAATCTATTTAGCATTTTTCTTGAGTGTTTGCTTATGTGTGCATTGTGAACATTCTGCCATACACATACATGTAGAACCTTCCAGTGTCAATATATGTTTTACTTTTCTTATTATTTCCAGGGGTGTTTCTAGATCTGTAGGGGCCTTATGCTGCCTTTTTGGGGGGTCCATAACTGACAAATATATTTATTAATTTTAAATCTCTTATGTTTGAATTATCCAGGTCCATCGCCTTAACCCAATGGAGAACTCTACATCCACCCAACTTCACCTCCTCCAGCGCACCTCCACCCCGAACCACAGCGCTACTTCTGACGGAAACGCGTTCCTCTACATCCTCATCGTCCTCTCTTTCTATGGCTTCTTCCTGTCCGCCATCATGTTTGGATACTTCCGCTCAAAACGCAAAGAGAAGAGACGAACCAACATTTTCACCAAACTAGTTCACGATAAAGAAAAACGTGAATGGGGAGCTCTGCCCAAAAAGCATAGCCTAACTTTCCCCTCCTCCGTATCGGGACTGAACGGTCTGACTTTGCCATTTTGTAGTAACCATTCGGGGCATCTGGAGCGTTTGGGGGTGCACGGGATGTTCCCTTCTCCGCTGGCATGTGCACTGTGTACAGAGCAAAGCAGTGTTAGCTCACTCTGCTCATCGGCGGATACGAGAGTGGCTATAGAGGAGGAGCAGGACTGCTTTACAACAGAACCAGAAGGTGCCAAAGGAGGTGCGGGGAGTGCTGCAGACGATTCTGGATGAGACAAATGTGTGATAAAGTCCGGAAAAGAAGAGTTATGAGGAATAGTCAGTGTGTCTTTGGCCTTGAGGCTTGGACCACAGCACATACGCCGGAGTTTGAGTTGGCTTCAGCAGTGAGATCAGATGTCAACTTGCAACTTCAGATTTGCTGAACTTTTCTATTTCCAGCCCTTTTCACATTAAAGATGCACTATGTAACTTTTCTGGTGGTCTGCTTGTTTCGATTCAGATGCTATTCTTTTCTTAGAATGTTCCACAATATGACAATAAAAACATCTGTCATTTATTCAGTCACTGCAAGATAGATGTTTAATTGCAATAAAAAGAAGGAAAACAAATGTAACGGTGTAAGTAAAGGTGCTTGTCTCCATGGTGATAGAGATGTGTGGAACATTCCAGGCAGAGTTCTCCAACAGAAAAGTTACATAGTGCAGCTTTAACATCTGTCAGTGGACCAAAAAACATGTACTTTTTTGCTGTCATGATGATTGCCCCTCAAATATACCTGTACAAATGGAGAAAAGGTCAAAGTGCACCAGTCCCTCCGACCACCACCAACGCTCACCACATTTAGGCAATGTCGTGAAGTGTCTTGCCTAAGGACAGAGCTTGGTTGGAGCTGGAATCGAATCTCTGTGGGTTGATTCTCTGGACACTTTTGCCCTGATAATAGCTATGATGCTAAAAAGTCATTTGGATATTTTTCACTTCCCACTTTCGCCAGCAGAGGCCGACAGACTCTTTAATCCAATCTCTGCTTCGACCCTTCTGTGTTAATGGAGACTCAAGATAGATGTTGTAATGAAAAAATTAAAAAGAAAATGCAGACTGAGAGACAAGACATCTGATTTATGAACTTTTTTGCTTTGGCCTGGAGTTTTAATGCATCAAACCTGGAACAGACTTGAACTAATTTTGAATGAATGCACTTACAAAAGATATGATTTTTTTCCTCAACGATTTATTAAACTAATGTGTGATTTGTTTGCTTTGAGTGCCTTGTACACGATTTGAATGCTCACTTTGTAATGTAAAATGAGATTTGTAGAGTGATGGTGAATAAAAACATAAATGAAGCATGTTTTTCCTCTTGCTGTCACTAGGGGCCACTGTTGCTGCTCGGAAATCCACACATAGAAGATGAAAAGATAAGAGATCAAAGCGTGGATGTTATGATGATATTTTTAGACCTCGTTCATGAGACTGGAATAATTAAGAGGGGAAGTAAATGAATGCAGTATTATCACAGAATGGCAGAATCCATTTAGTTTAACATTGATCTGGAGGACAGGAGAGAATTCGTTGTTCATGTGAAATTGCTTTTTGAGATTTGTTGACATGGTTCATAGGCCTATCACTATGAAACAAACACTGACACAAAGTTCAACGTCTTCTCTAGCGGGACAGTTGTTTTAAATACTATATCTCACCTCATGGTAATCTATGAAGCTCCTCTGTGTTTTTAAAGTTCACACACCTTCACTCTTGTTTATTTTGGTGATCTACGGTTATGCACATAATTTAAACTTAAACTGCATTCAATACCAAAGACAGTTTTAAGAAAGGCCAAAGACAAATGAATATAAAGCAACACTATATAACTTTTCTAGTGGGAAGTCTATCCTTGTTTGTCTCCGTGAAGATGGTATTGGCGTGGACAACATCTGTATGGAGATAAGCCAGGGGTGGGCAAACTTTTTAACTTGTGGGCCACAAAGGGAGCAGATGGATGGAGTTTTTTGGTTATCCGCCTCATAAGAGAACAAAATAACATGGGATATGTAGAAAACCATTACAAAGATACAAAATATATGTCTTTCAAGTCCCACTGTATTGACTATTTATTGAAATTACTTTTAAAACACAGAATTTTTTATTATTATTATTGTTCTCCAAGTTCGAATTGACAGCCGGGTTAAAAAGATTAAAGGGTCGCATATGGCCCCCGGGTTGTAGTTTGCCCACCCCTGACATAAGCAGCGACACGTCTCCAGAAAAGTTTGTGAACCTTTAAACAAAAATATAAAATAAAAAAAAGTCTTTAACAGATTCCTTAGCACAGACTGGATCAGTGTGTTAACATTATGAGTTACATTTAAAAAGCCTGTAACTGTGTACTGGTGGAGGATCTGCTACTTTCTTGTCTCCATGGAGATGTTATTACTTTGCCTGGAATGTTCCATAATATAACATTAAACATACATCTAGAAGTTATTCATTACAGATGTTTCTCTCCACAGATCTGAATTGTAATGTAGCATAGTGCTGTAACCTCCTTGTCCACCCCGTGATAGTTTAATCTATACTGTGGAACATTCTAGACAAAGCAGTATCATTTCCATGGGGACAAGCACGTGGCAGACCATCCACTAGAAATGTTACGAAGTGCACCTTAAAATAGGACTAGATTCATTGAGGCTATGAATGAATGAATGAGAATACTCTGTTCATTCACTGATCCAACGCAGTGACCAAAGACTCAGGTTGGCCCAAGTTTTCAAATCTATTTTCCTGCTGCGTCACTAAGCTCTCTCCTCCACTCTCTCTTTCTCTCTCTCTCTGTCTTCTGTTGCTCGCTTCTCTTTCACCTCTCTTTCACCTCCCGCTTACGTTCTCTCTTTCCTCTCTGTTTTACCCCACTCTCTCTTTCAATATCTCCTCAACACCTCCTTGCTTCTCCTGCTGCCCCATCTCTCTCCTCACCTCCATCCTCTCTCCTAAACCCCTTCCTCTCCCATTCTCTCCCTTTGTGTGTTTCTCCTTCTCTCATTGCCCTTCCCCTCCTTCTTGAACATATTGACAATTGCAGCAGTTTTCGGTATCTTTGCACACATCTTTACTTTACTCTCTCTCCCTCTCTTCTCTCTCCCTCTCTCTTTCTCTCTCTCTCCCCCTTCGCTCCCTCTCGTCTATAGTGACAGTTGCAGCAGTTCTCAGTGTCTCTGCACACGTCCCTATGAGCGACAGTGTGAGCAGAGGGAGGACATGACGCGCAGCGGTGACGTGTGCAAAGGCCGGAGAGTAAACCACAGTGTCAGAACAGCTCTGTAACTGGGGGCGACGCAAACACAAACACCAGAGGAGATATGAGGCCAGTGTGAAGGAGATGGGAGATGGACTCATCAATATTATAATTACTATAACAACTGTGGACATGTTTATTTTCAGTTTGGTTTGTAATGTGCTAAAGCAGATAGAGTTGGGAATGACAGGCTCCCTTATGATTCAATACACACTGGTCAATATACAATACAATAACTTAATATAGGGCTGTAGTTGTTTAGTCGATTAATCAGGTTGATGGTGTCATATTCAACCAAAATTTGTGTTAGTCGACTAAGAATGGTTTTCTGTAGGTTCAGTAAAGAATACAGCGCTCCACAGACAGAATGAACCACAGTAGCCGATACATTTTTCTACTGGTAAACTGGAGTGTGGTCTAAGGCAGACCTGGGCATTGTACAGCTCCCAGGCCACATACAGCCCTTTGATTGACTCTGACCAGCCCCTTTAAGATAATTTGGAATTACAAAATAAACATATTTTATTATTTTACCTCATGCATGGACTAAAGCTGCATTGCTTTAATTTTAGAGTTTTTTTTTTTAAGTTTTTGTAAGGCAATCTCACTTTTTCATTGCTTAGTCATAATATACTCTTACCAGTCTTACCAGCTCATCAAAACAATGATATTTACTGCTTTGCCTTCCACAATATTTTCTATTTCTTATGTGGCCCCATCGAAAAATTAACTTCCCACTCCTGGTTTAAAAGACATGATACGAAGGGTACAAATTAGTGATGCATGACCATTCGGTTAATGTCACGGTCATTACTAATGAGGTCTATTTATGGTCGGTTGTATTCAGTCCATCATGTGGTCTATCACAAGGTGTGACCTACAGCTTGTGTTCACTTGTGACAACATCATGTGTCCCAGTTAGTGTCACTAAAACCACACATTAAACCTACAATACCTACAATAAAGATTATAGTTTAAGAATATTAATTAGCACCTTTCAAGACTTTCAAATTGTCACTTTGGCAAAAAAGTACTATAGCCTACTTTTATTTATAAATCACCAAATAAATAAATATAGTGCCTGTATATAGTAGTATGACCGAGAGAGCAAAATTAATTATTTTTCAAATTTCTGAGAATCCATCTGACTTGGCTCCCGCTGGTGACAACTGGGCCCAGGTCACTAATGGTTCAGACCAATCACAGCACAGCATTGTGGTTTGGTTGCTACAACTTTATGGGGGCCCCTAGTGGAAAGTGGGGGAAATACCGGTTCCAATAAAAGGAGAAAAACAAACATGTGTAGCATAAAAGGTCACTGAGGCTTTATGTGATTTACAACGTAAACACTTGAAAAACCTATTAAACATTTATGTACAATGTATAAAAGACAGTGAACTATAATATTTTGTTATTAGGGTCATAAAGCTTTAGAGACAGTTCTCGGGGCCCTTGGGAGCAAAGGGAGGAGGCTCAGATAAAACAGCCGTGGTGCGTTCACTGTCTCGCGTTTACAGCCGGATGTTTGGGTTTCCTCTCCTCCTGTGGGACTCTGCTCTGGGCCTCTCTGTTCTGCCTGGGGCCTTTATAGACTGAAAAAAGACTTTCCATACATTTATTGTGTAATTAAATCATTTTAAACTGATATTACTGATTGTTCACCAGCTATTTTCATTTCAACATAATGACTGATCTAACAGTAAAGGTGGACCATGTACTTTTTCTGATGAAGGGACTCCACAAATTACAGCTCCTACAGAACCAGAAACAGAACACCCTCCATCAAGCAAATCACTCCAGTCCTTCAGCAGCTCAAGGACATCTGGATCAGTTTCAAATTAATTTCAAGATTCTATTACTCACAATTAAATATGTTCATAAGAGATGTTACTGACAGGGAAATTAACCACCTTTACATAAAATGCATTATCATTATTTATTATTACCTTCTTGTCCCCATGGTTCTTGCTTTGCTGGATATGTTCCACAGCATAGCAATAATCTAATCTGTTTTGCATTTCCACTGAGTTGACCTTCAAGAGACACCTGATGGCATCACTTGCTTGTCTTCATGGAAATAGATGAGATTAATGCCATACTGTGGTACTTTTCAGGCAAAGCATTCAAGGATCAGCCACTTGCTTGTCTCCATGGAGATGTAAATGCTCCGGGAATGTTTCATACTAAGGCATTCGATCACACAGGGGGTTTTATTGCTCTAAAATACAAACATTCTTACTTGTGAGTTGTATCGCCTCTCCCCAGATCTGACCTGTAACATTCTTTCTCCCTCTCTTTTCCTTTGTTCTCTCTTCCATTCTTCTTCTCGTTTCCATTTTACTCTCTCTCTCTTCCCTTGTTCACAAACACGAGTCAACCTTTTACCTAATGAGCGTTGCCGTGGTAACCTGAAGCAGAGGCTAATTTGCATATGAGATCCTGGTCTGGGGGGATCAGGGCTGGCAACAAGTCACGACAACGGACTTAGGAGACAGAAGCGAGGACATAGGAGTTAGGAGGCAGGAGCTAGGACTCAAGAAAAAATCCTTTTAATAGCCTTCTGTCTGATGTGATTGAGATAACCATGTATTATAAAACAGATAACAATAGATATTGGACTTGTAATTGTGATGAAGTAATATTACCTCGCTTTTTATCTATTGTTGTGTAAATGTATGTTTGAGACTGTGACATGATCCAAATCTACAGGACTAAAGGTCAATTTCAGCACAATAATTTATTCAGGATTAAGTGAAAATCTCAGCAAGACAAAATCAATACAAAGCAGGAAATAAGTCCTGATTTAGCTCTTAGTTAGT